ACAAGATAACTAAAAATGAGCTTTTGCTGAACATCTCAATTCCATAATATGCCAGAAAACTGGATGCAATGTGGTTAGAGCTGTATGAGAATCAACAAATAGAAAGGTGAACATTCATTAGTTTTGTCTTGTGTCATTGTGAGAGGATTCCTATGGTAATAGGACATTTTTCTCCATTTAATGAGTGCTAAAAATGTTTGTTTCTCTTAGTGCCAGTCTAAAGGCTATAAAAATTCCAGAGGTATGTGTGGATTCACCAGTGCTGTGATGCCAAGGCTCTACAGCCAAGGCAGGGGTTTATTTCTCCCAGAGGGGTGAACGCTGTCTCAGCTCGTGTCAGTGTCGCGTACGGGGGCACATAACCACACACGGGGTCTAACAGAGCTGCATTTCCTGCTCTTTGGCTCAGTAACCTTACACTGCTTCCAAAAAGGGTTTTACTAAAAAATGAAGCAGCTTTCTAGTGTGGGAATAGAGCAAAGACCAGCTAGAAGTACAACCAGGGAATAAGTATGTCTTTTTGGATCTGAATTCACAGCATTTTAGATCTTTCATTTCGGACAAATAATATGCAGGTTTTTTAAAGGTTCCTTTTTTTTTTTCCAAAGGCCTTGCTGTCTGCTGTTCCAGGGGCACCACAGTCCCCATACACACGTGATAGACTTACACACCACCATAGTACTTAGTGGCCTTAGTGGGTTGGGTCTAAAGAAGACACAATAGCAAAGCGTGAAGACAAAATGAATGAAAGGGAGAGAGCTGATCAGCCAATCTTCACGTACCAGACAAATACAGAGCTTGCTTTTGTCTCCAAATCATTCAAACTTCTGTCCACAAATTAGTACCTGAGCTGATCCCAGCTCCCTAAATGTGGTCAAGTTTGGGAAGCTCACTTTGATTCTGGAAATCCTCCAAGCTCCAGAGGTACTCATCTACTTTAAGTGAAAGCCACCCTTCAACTCCCTAGAACCAGAATTAATCAGGTATGTCTGTTTTCCTATCCAGTGAGTAAAAACTGGTTCAGTCTTCAAAAAAATTAACATGAAGTATGTTCTGATGTTACTCCAGAACTCTGGATACTATTAGATAATAAAATAATTAGTTGTGTCAGCACTGACAAAACAGAGACAAAAAGGAGGGGGAAAAGGACTTTGGATGATCTCAAGTTCACCACAGTATAAGGATTCATGGGAAAGAAGTGGATGATTGCTTCTCAAGTATAAAACAAGTATTGTTGTTCACAACTTTTGAAATACCATTTAGAATGTCAGATTTATTAAAATACTATTCTACTGTACATGGGACATGGCAACAGTTTCATTAATCTGAACCAGGAGGTGACAGAAAAAAGTTAGTAAACAGAAAAAATATTTTTAAAGATCCTATTCCTAGTAAAACTTAGAATGTAAATCTGAGAATTTAGCATTATTAAATCTTGAGGATCTGTTCAGAAGTCAGTAGATGTCTACCATATAATTCATTCAGGCTTTCTCTTGCACCCTATTTCACTTGCAAAAAGCAGATTTACAATTATTCAAGGAAAGCACTTCCTTGACCTTTTAAGACTTTATACAATTCTTGAGGAGGAAACAATCTCCCAAAAGAGCAAGATGAAGAATGCTAAGTAAGGAAGAAGCATATTTCAAGTACAGTTTGGACTGAGAAATAAAAGCATAAATAGAAGATATGATGAACTAGCCTGCATATTAAATAAACAACTAGCAGGACTTGAAATCAAATAATTTTTTTAGCTGCAGAGAAGGTAAAGCCGGTCCAACCCAGCTGAATGACTCCTGCTCTTGGGTACTCACCCAGAATATGGCAATCTTGTATATTGAGTAAACATGCTGGTTCTTAGCTTTAATAGTGAATTATTCATGTCTTGCTAATATTGGATTCCCCAGAGTATTCATGCACATGATGAGCATGCATGATGATCAAATTTTCATTAAATTTAACAGAAAGGCTTTCCTTTAGGACTATCAGAATGAGGCATTAATGACAAAATGCACCTCTCTCCTAGTTCTTTACCAAACTACATATACAAAACCCTGATTTTTAAATTTCAAATACATATGGGAAAATGATAATCCAAAAGATTACTGAGCAACAGACTGACGTGATTAGGAATGGATTAGAGAACACAATTAAAACAATGTATGGTATCACAAAAAATCTAGCTGGAAAGAAAAGAAAAATCCTGTAAGAGACTTCACAGCATTTCCAGTCTTTTTGGTACTGTTTGTGAACATTGCCTCACTTTTTTCAAAGAAGATTATAATTCAATTACCATATTCTGTTGCCATTTTCTGCACCTCTAAAGAGACTATCTCATTTGCAATAGCAATTTTACCATTACAATAATAATAAGGAATTTCAAACGCTTCATTTCACAGAGTACTTATACTAGTGTTTCCTGACATGTATTCCAAGCTATTCTTGTACTTATGAGAGTTTTTGTGATGCTCACAACTGAAGTGAAATATCAAATACATTAAAGAGATGATGGGTCTTATTTTGAGTCCTGATTCTGCAAACTATACTTCATTTGTAAAGCCTTAATCCTCATGATGTTCTAATCTTTGTATGTGAAAAATCTAATTTTGTTTGCAAATTGTAAAAAGGAGTGAAATTAATTTGCTGCTCACCAATTTCTCATCAACATTCTAAAAATCCCAGTGAAATCAATATATTAAACATGGCAGTGGGAGATAATTTTGCTAATTTAAACATCACAGATTAAGACAAGGTGTACAGTAATGCTATAAAAATCAAAATATTGATCTACATATGTTAAAAGAAGAATCCTCCCCTATGTCAAACAGCATAATAAAGCAGAGGAACAATCCTGGCTATATAATCACTCTAAAAAGAAGCTGGAATCATTCAGTAGCTCACTAGAATGATAATTTTCAAAGCATTACACAGGAAAAGAAAACATCTATGGTATGAAACACTACTGACTCCACATTTCAAAGCTGCACCTGGCTGTACTTTACAAATGAGATTATGCCTTTTCATGCACACTCACAGAGCCATTGAGATGGTCACAGAGTCCTTCAGAATGGCAAATTACACACATTTCAAATAACCTGCCTGAACTGCTACTTACCTTAGAGATAGTTCCAAAGCAGAGGGAAAGAAACGAGCAGACAATAAGAATGGCCAAACAAGAGCACTCCAAGAGTTGCTCAGCATCAGGTTACAGACACTAACCTGCAAGGCAAACCACCTGAAGCTTCTGGCTGTTCTAGCTCATCAGCAGAAGAAAATGGAACAAGAAGTTCCAGGAGGAGCTTTAGGACGACCCACAACTTAAATGAGGTGAACGAGCTGATAAGAGCAAGAATCAAAGCCAGTGCTCCATTCTGACTCAAAAGCAAAGAGATGTGAATCACCCATAGCCCTAATTAGGCAGATTATAAAGGAAGGCTTGAAAGAATCTTCTGGCAGGATGAGAGGAGGAAAAGACTTAATGAATTTAAATACCAAGAGTCATCATTTTATCTGCAAGATTATAAAATATGGCTGCTTTGATAACAAGAGACAATAACATCTCAGGATGTCTCTTTCAATTTTATGTTTTAAGCAGTACAAAAAGCACACAATTTGTCTCTGACAGAATTTCTGCCAACATTTCTTACCCACACATGTAGTGAAGTAATTCACTATTACTGGGCTGTGTTTAAAAAATCAAGTAGGTGGAACGCTGAGAAGAGGCTGAGTTGACTAAAGTTAAAATTGATTTAGCGAGTCCAGCTTTTGAGTACCTGAAAAACTCTCTGGTATCCAAGCACTTTTTGGTGCCACCTCCCATATTATCCTCATGGCTGGAATACATGAAATGTAGTGAGAGCTTTTTGCCTGTCCCGGTGAGAGCTGGCTCGTACTGGGCAATTAATCTGGCCACATATGGCCTGGTAGAGAAGCCTGCAGGGAACAGAGAGAGGACAGAATTGGAGACAGACAAGGATGTGATCCAACGAGTCCCAGCCCAGGCTGCAGGAGCTGTTGGTCAGAGAGATGAGCAGCCTGAACTTGGAACCAATCACAGGCTCTTACCTGGGAACATTAAGAAAGGTATTTGAGGTGAATTCAGAACAATAAAGAGGTTTTTGTCACATGGACCATAGAGTGCTGTGTCTCTGTCTCGGGCACAGTGCCAGTCAAGGTTACATTTGCCTTCTTAACACAAGGTAGCAGAGTTTGCAAAGCCTGTAAGTTCCTAAAATGCTCCTTTCACATAGGAACCAAATCCCCTTCTATATAATAGATTATTTATTCCTTGTTCTTCCAGATGTCAAGGTTTACCCTATTTTATCAGTGTTGCACTTCTTTCCTCACTCAAGCTCCTCTTTAATCATATACGAGAGCAATCATTTTTCCCCCCTCACTTCCATGCTTCCCTAAACTATCTCTTTTTACACTCTTCCCCAAGTCCTTTCAACACAAGTGATATTTTTCTTCCCTTCTGAGAAATAAGTTTGGCTGTGCCTTTTGATTCTTTTCTCCAAATAACTTCCTTCTGTTAGCTCTTGCCTCTCATAATGAATGCTCCGTGAAATTTTGCACCTTGTTCTTTCCCACAATATGGGTTTTGTTCTCTCAACCATGCAATGGACTTTCCCCTTTCTGAAGTACCAAACTTTCCCATTACACTTTCCCATCACTTATTGTTTCCAAGCCCAGATTATTTCAGTCTGGCAATATATTTCCCTTTTTCAAATTTTACTTAATTTTACCCATGTAGCATTTAATCCCCAGTTTGGTGATCTAAACAGTCACACTGTACCAACAGTTTCTTATTTATTGTGGAAATGTTTAGGATAATAATCGCTAAGGATCCTGCCATACTACAACTCCCTTATGCATTGGATAAGCACAGATTGCAAGTATCTCAAGAAATTTTAATTTTTAAGAATCCTGCAATTCACTTAAAAATGACCTTAAAGTCCAGTAACTCCAGTAAGTGCTTGAAAAGTCAGTTGAGTTGATTCAGATGGCAGTTCTAACAGAAAAAGAAAAAATTGCATCTATGGCTGTATCAAAAATAAATGAGCATTATTGGAAAAATTGAATTACTTCTCATTATTTATTCCATTTTAAACAATTTAATAATATTTCCTGCAATGCTACATACAAGAAACTGTTTTAAATAACATTAATATAAACTAAAAAAAGTCAGAGAACCTGAAGTTAGAAAGATTTCATCTTTCCCTCACATAATAAAAGACATAATACATATGATTCATTCAAACAACTATATTATAATAACAGTAAGAAAACGCTTAAATAAAAAAATTTAAATGAGGGAGCTAAAATTCAGGCATCTAAAGCCATGTGTAGGCACTGAATAGCTGGTTTAATTTTCAAAGTTGCAAACACTTTGAACTTCCAAAGAGTTTAAGGTGACCAACACATATAGAAGTCCCATTAACACTTATCCACGTAATCTACTCATCTGAGTAGGTCCATCAAATTAAAAAACATTTGTATGCATAAAGCACATGACTAATTTTTACAAGATTTAACCATATGCTGATATATGGATTATATTTTCTAATTTAAATCTCCAAAATTAAAACTTTCAATCACAACATTAAAAATATGATTTATTTCATTATGCATTTACGATGTATGCTATAGTCTTTTAAAACATATGCTGTGAGGAACTCCTGGTAGATTTTAAAACAGAGCAATTAGTACCTTTTTTTTTTTTCAAAATGGCAACCAGAGTCCTCATGATCAACGTATTATTTGAAATATTCAGGTCTACAAATAAGAGAAGTCATTGAGAAGCCATAAATTTTCCTACTGACCATGTTATTTGCATGACTTGAAAGCAGAGGTTTCTGCTTAGAAATTGATGACACAGCTCTGGAATTTGACAAATTTAAGTGACTTCCTAAGTGCCTATAAAAGAAACTTCATCTTTTATACTGCAAGTTTCAAGCAGGGATCAGTATATACAGTTAAATTAACACCTCTAAATACTTCATTAAAATCAGGATACTGGCCATCACAACACATTAATATCAGTTAGTTAAACATCTTTTCAGTTGCTAAATGAACACACACTTTTCAACACAAGGAGTTTTAATCATTCACCCATTATTATTGACCAGGTCAGTTCACATTATTATTTGCCTTTGCTATTTTTGTTCTAATAAATTCCAACAGCAAAATAATTAGGTTGCTCATTGTAGCACAAAGAAAATGGGCTTAGTCCTGCAGACACTTTTCAAGTGTCTAATTTTATAAATGCTGATGGTCATATTCATCTACAGAAAATAAAGCCTGGGATAAAATGTGTGGACCATAACAGTCATTATTGGTATCAAGTCTGCAGTGCTCAGAGAGCCACAGCACTGAAATTGCAAGGTAAGAATGTATCATCACCTCTTTAGGCAATTGAACACTTAATAAAGGATTCATCTGCCCTTCATTGTGTCTCCTCAGATATCTTCAGCTACCACCAATTCACCTTGGTTTCAGAATAAAGCTCTCAGATATCACAGCTCCATCCAAGGTTTTAAAAGCAAACCAAACTAAAATCATTAAGGCTGTTTTATGTCTGTGTCAACCGGATTCACTTAGAACAAAAGGAACAAATCCTTTGAGGACCCTCAGGTGGAGTGATTGGTCTTGTCAAATTCCAGGAAAAGTCATTGCATCTGTTGGGATAATTAGTCACCAACATCACCATCTCTGTCACCTATGAGCCACAGAAAATGAAAACCTATGGCTAATAAGGCAGTTCCAAGCAGATCTCCCAGTGCAGTAAGATAAGGGATAGAAAAACTGTCAGGGTCTTTTCCTTTTTTCCAGAAGTGATGCACCATCCAGTCAGCAATCCACAACAGAGTAAACACCTACACAACATCAAACAAAATCTGTATTATTATCATGTAAGCTGCATCAAAAGGAAGTCAACAGCCAACATTACTGTCTCTGTATTAAAGTATTGTATACCATTGCTTTGGAAAAATATAAACTATTAATATGAATTAATTTCAGAAAATTAAAGCTCTCCACAACCAGAGAGAGGGACACTTTTAGCCAATTTCTCTCAATCACATGCATTGCTGGAAGGAACATTCTGAATTACTGACAGCATTTTTTACCCAGACTATGCTTCAGGACTCCTGAAAATGGCAAAAAAAGACAAAAAAGTTCCACCAATACCACAACTGCACTTGTCACATAACACATAATTCTGTACAGAGAGAGCATAAGTAGGGCTTTGAGATAATTCAGAACCAAATCATGTGGCCCCACATGAATACACTCAACCCAGGCATAATTCCTGTGTGCACTGACCCGAAATTAGATGTGATATAAAGAATAACAGGTCAAATTAAAGTTTCATCTGGGTTGTGTGAACTGCAAAAAATGGCCTAGAACCTACTTTTATGCCTGAAATACCACCTTCAGCCCTTCTGTAATAAGGCAGACTTGCAATATATATTATGAAATGGTCTCTCCAGGCTGAATTTGACTCAAAGTAAAAGATTTCATTTCCAGCTGTGAACATCTGAACATCTGAGAGGCTTGATCTTCATACCAAAATTATGCATAATTATTAACCCAATTTTAGAAGAGAATCCTTTTAATGTTGCATAGCTGTATGATAAGGGATTCTGCTTTGGTGGAATCGTGGTGTGGAATGGCACAAGATGAATGGAGAAGGGACCACTAACTGAGTTTCATTTCTTCTTGTAGCTTCTAAGGAGCTGCTTAAGTTGAAATAAATTCTGTATTTTAGGTATTTTTCGTTAATCAGATCTTTAAGAAGGCTAAACTTAGACATGTACTACCATAATTATTTTTTAAAACTCTACTGATCTATATATAAAGCAATGTAGGTATCAAAATAATGCAGTATCAAAAGTAGTAAAAATTACAACAATAATTTTATTTACTAAGTAATCAATTATTGGCATCAAAACTCTGCTTATAAATGTATACACTCATTCATTGAAATATTGATCAGATGGTTGCAAGACCCACACTATAAGCACAGCAAAATGAATGTCATACAAATAATTGTCTTGAAAAGATTTCTCAATTAATCCTTGCTTTGCAAAAGTGTATGTTAAAATACAAGCCTGAATTTATAATTAAATTAAAAAAAAAAAAAAAAAGAAAAGAGAAAGGAGGAGTATTTGCTTAATGAAAAATGCATGGCTTATTTATATAAATGTATCTTTTGAAAAGGGAACTCTGTAGTCTAAGCTAATTATGCAAGTCCTAGGTGCGCTGACTGGAATCCAAACAAATATATTTAAAACAGATGTTTTCTTTGGAAGACTATCAGATTCCTTGAGTCAGCTCCTTCTTCTTACAGAGACAAAAAGAGGCCTGTTTATTAATGATCCTGCGCATTCCCATCTCCTACAGGATGTGCTCGGAAGACGCTGCAGCGCCCCACATCCACAATAGTTATGCATGTTCATTGGAAGATGAGAACATCCATGCCAAGAAAAATATACACTGCATTTATATAACACAACCAATTAGACATAACATACAGTCCAATTTATATGACAGTATTCACTTTTGACTCTTAAAAATCACGACATGAAAACCTTTCAGTGGGTTATATGTTTTCCATCCTGAAATAACTGACTTAGTGTTAAATGGGCAGTTTGGAAACTAAGCTTTTGTGAACCTTCCCAAATAATTATTTTTGCTGTATTAATGTATGGGTGCACAACAAATAATGCAAGTTACAGCAAGCCTGCATTCTCTAAGTCATAAAAAGAATTTATAGTAGATTATATTTACCGGTGCTTGTAACAGTATGTGATGGAAATTGGAACTTAGTGCTTACAGATTAAGTTATGAGACTGCAGTTCCAGCCTTCACTTCTTTTGGTGAAGGAATAATGCTATCATCCATCATGCATTTGCATGGCTAGAAACTCACTAATATTTAAGAATTACAGGGCTCAGTCTTTGGAAATGGTTACTTATTTGCTCACATCAGTTTGTAATGCAAGACAGAATCAATGTGACTAAGACTTCGAGAAGATTTTGCTTCTCGTCACTGTTAAGAGAAGGCAATCAAAGTCATCAATCATTATTTTGGGAAAGAAAAAAAAGAAAAGAAAAAGAAAAAAAAATGCAGCACACTACTATGAGTGCTGAATTTTTGAAAGACAGTCTTGAATTCAAAGTGATAAGTGACTCACAAAGATCTGACAGATTAAAAAAAAGTAGTAAAAGAGACATTGCAGGATGGCACTTCACATTTTGTGAGATTTATTTATTTATCAGTGACAGATACTTCTGTCAGTGAATTGATGCAGATGGCACAGCAGTACAAACACTGTGCATTTCTGCCCTGCACTCATGCTATCAAGAAGAAAGCCTTCCTTCTCCCAGCCGAAAACCAGCTGGTTTTGAGGGAAAAATAAAGGGATGAACATGACAAAAAAGCCTAATAATGCAGTACAAAAGTTAGCTGTTTAGCGTGAGCTGCTGCAGAAAATTGGTAAGAAAAGCTTGTAAATACATGCAGTGCTGTTCAAGATGGGAGCTGAAACTATTTAGTATAGAAATTATTTAATATAGAGAGTTTTCTGAAAAAAAAGGAGATGAGTAGTAGTAGAATTATGAAACAAAGCTCTGCGAATTATTCCAGACTGAAGCATGAAGTAACTGCAGGATAAAAGTAAGGGAAAAAAGAACTAAACATCTATCTATATAAAAAAAACTAAATATCTAATCTATATAAAAAGATCTGGCTAAGAAAAGGGAGACACTCAAAAGTCACTGATCAAGAAAAAAAAAAAAAGAGACAAGACTGCAAAAACACATGCAAAATTCCAGATGTTCCAATAGTTTAAAAGGAAAATCATGCTATATTATTATCATTATTACAGAGAAAAAATTACAATCAAAGGAGAGGAAAATGAAACTAAAGGCATGATCAGACAGATTGCATTTCTAAAAATCACCCTTCGGTCTCACTGTCAAAATAAGTCCTCAGAAGCAGCAGAATACAGCAATAAGAGAAGGAGGGAGGGGAAAAGCTTGAAAAATCCTAATGATGAAGAATCTAAAAATAAGGAATATAAGTACTCATATTATTTGGTACAACAAAGGATGGAAATTGAGACTAATTCTCGATATTGAACTTGCTGACTCAAATTATGAATTTCAGATTGGAAGTGAAACTGAACATGAATACTTAAATATGAATGAGCTTTATTATTTTGAAAGTTCAAATCTTACGACTGCAAGGCTAGAAATGGGAACATTACACACTACAAAGAAGGGTTTTTTCCTTTGTTATTTTGCACAAAATTTACTTTCATTCTTTCAAGGTTTTTAGATACAATAAGGAAAAATTAGGTGAAGAAAAGTTATTTTTGATCTTTTGCATGTAGTACATCTGCAATTTCTTATGATTCCAAAAATGGGAAAATACTGAAACTCTATTATTTAAGATAAAAATATGTAACTCCTTCCAAACATTCTTAATACTGTCAAGGCTTCCTATAGCCTAATTAATAAGTTGCAGGATGCTAAAATATGTTATTGTTTCTTTCATCTGTAATGTCCATATGTCATCAGTGGATGCATGTCAAATTCACAGTGATAAAAGTGAAATATTTAAATGAAGAATATTTGTAAAGCAGAGTAGAATTGTTCATTTTCATATTATACATTAGTTGCTGTGATAAGTGAATTCCAACACCAAGCTGGAAAATTAAACTGTTAAACTGCCTGTTGCTAGTACTGATGATTCTACCTTAAATTTTTTCCATCTGAAGGTGCTTTACAAAATAGTTGCATTCTATTACTTTAGACAGGAAACACATGTAAATAAACTAAGGTAACCTCCTTTCAAATGTATTTTAAGTCTCCCTTACTTTTAAAATTATACTGACTCAAAATTTATCCATAACTTCACTATGAAAAGATCCTGCAATTACTGGACAAGAACTCTTACAAATCTATGAAATTCAAAGGTAAGTTTATTTATTTGGTTTTTAAATTATGAGTAGAAATTCCCATTTAATAATCTCTAAAGACTACAGTGTTCTGAATCTGTCATTCTCTCCAGAGTTATGATTTAGGTCTTCTAGTGGCTCTGACCCTTCATTAAGTTAATTTTCAAATTATACATTACATGTCTCCAATTTTAAATGGCTTTTGATGAAGTAGTAATTGTGAAGTGCTTGTAACAGATCCACACTGAACTCACTGAGTTTCCATTGTCTACAGCCAGAAATCTGTAGTCAGTGAACTCTCAGAGTAGGGACTACACACATTTTTCAAAAGACATTTTTCTGCACGGTTTTCTCTGGTAGCATGTCTGGCGTGTATCATGTCCAGAGGGGACAAGTCACTGTTTCCTCCAAACAAAAAGAGATTTCCTTCAATGCCTGGCTGCAAGGAAACCACTGAACAGCAAGTTTTTTCTTGCTGCTGTTGTTCGTATTGTAACTAAGTGGCATCACGTCCTCTAAGGTATCCAAGTACCCAGACAGCACAAAATACATTGATGTCAGACTAAGACCTCTTTGAAGTAAAAAAGAGAATACCTCTGTAACTGAAGTTGTTTCTGAGTCAATTTCATTATATTGATGTAATTTTGCAGGAAGCAACTTTTTTTGTTTTTTTTTTTTAGATTTCAGTTTGAATCAAATTTTTCAGATTGTCATCTTGATTTCTTTGTAGCTTTGCCAGACACCCTGGTTTGACCAAAATAGTCCTAATTTCAGGCTGTTTCTCAGCTATCTGCTGGGATGTGTAACCCAGAGCAGTCAGTGCTCTGGTATGCTCAGCCTGAAGTAGTTTAGCACAACTCAGTGTGTCATGCTACATACACAAGCACTTGGAGCTCAGCCCATAGGAGGCAAAAATGAAAAATCCCTGCTGTGATTTGTTAGGAGCTGGCCTTCTCCCACAGACAGGGCAGGAGCTGCTGGTACCCAGGGTCAGACCCCAGTGAGTCTGGCAAGTCTGCTTGTCATGCTGCAATGCGAAAGCACTGAACATACAGAACTGTCCAGATTTGGGCTTGACTTTCCATATTTCCTTGGAATATAGTCTCTTTAGCAGTTATATGCTCCAGCTTTCAGAAATAACCTTTCCTGTTAGAAAAAGCAATGTTTTCAATGCATCCATATTTTGTCTACAAACACAACCTTCCTTTTTTCTCTGTAAAGAGACCCATACCATCATTAGAATCCTCACACTGGTGAGAAATCCAAGATGTTTTTGATGTGAGCAGGAAGTTGTTATGAGCACCACTGAATTCTTGGTTTTCTATTGCCCCAAAGAGCCCTGAAGCACTGCAAAAGTGACTTCACAGCTGTGCACATCCTGACCTTCACCGGGTAAGAAGAATTCTGGAATTACTTATTTGCTTGGTAATAGCTCAGGGAATCTCCTATTGTTTGTTTATTCCCCGAGACTTTAACATAACTGTATGTTCAGATTTGGTCAGGAGGTGTGAGAATTCCTTAGAGGGTTTTTTACTGGCTCAGGGAGAACATGCAGAACAGAGGCTGCCTTTGAGTGCCCCAAGCCAAGTGCCAGGACTGACAGCTTGGCAATTGCAGCACTGCTCTCCCTCTGCTGCAGCCTGACAAGACAGGGGATGAAACTCTGCCTGGTGCACAGCCTCATGCAGGAAAAATATACTCGTGGCTTTGTGAGGAATAAGAGGAGGACTGTTTCCCAGTTAATATAACCTTCATTGGTTAAATGCCATATTGTAGCAGCACGCAGTGTGCTGCTGCATGTCTGTGGCTTGTTTTTGTAAGATTTTCAAGGAAAGAGTATTCCTCTAAAGCAGAGCCCACTCACCAAATCCAAAACACACTTAAAGGCATTATACTGGGTTTATCAGGCACCTTGGCTTGCCTTGATACTGTACAGTGCATTGTGTGAAGCACCAAACATACTTACAGGGTGTACAATCTCCATAGCATTTTTTATTGTATTTTCCTCTGGTGCTGCCATTCATAAACACAGAACAGTCTCTTCACTACAGAGCTAATTCAGACCTTTTGAACTTCAGCCTAAAAGTTTTACCTGAATGCAGATTAATATAATAAATTGTGCAGTTTTTCCCCCTTTATGGAAAAATAACTGTGAAATCCTAGCCCCTCTAAAGATAGAGTACAGCCTTGGATGTCACTAAAATCAATTTATAAATTTAATCAAAGAACATTTCAAGAATATATATTTATTTTAAAAATAGAAACAGCTTTACTATTAAGGGTAGGAAAACTAAAATGAAAAGGATTTTTTTCTGTTTTTTCTTAAGCCTAGAAATCCAGACCTATTTTGTTCACAGAGAATCAAAAAGAATGCAAATCATAGCTCTGGCTACTCATATTACTTAAAATATCTCAATGTAATGATCTTTAGAAAAAATCTACACATTCAGTGAAACTGTACTTTGTTTTTTTACACTGCATATTTTCAGTCAATAAAAACTGAATTATACTATTGATAATACATAATGGCATTTTAATTATTTAGTTCTCATAAATAGCTTATTTAAATGACATGCTGTGGAGAAAATATCTAAGAATATCTCAGAACAGCTAGGGAGAAGAGATGAAAGAATCTGGTAGGCTTGAGTGGTGAACAAACAACAATCAAATGATTAAAGTATCAGATTTGGATGAAAATGAAACTAACTCTGACTGGAACTTCAGTAATACTGCATAGAGCTTTCAGTGCAAATAAATTCCATTTTTATCACTTTGGGATGGATAGTGAAGTTTGCAGGCAATTTGAAAAAGTCTTGTTAAAATGTAAAATAAAATTCATATATGTGTTATGGTTTTCCTGTAAAGAACATGTCGAATAGCATAAACTGAAAGAGTGAAATATAAAAGGCATAATCAATGTCTTTGCATTAACATTTTCTTGATTTTTTTCCCATTACTCCAACATTCCATTTGGAGTTCTGTATTTGCCATTTCTCTAGCCCTTTCCTCTCCATTTTAAATAAACAGAGCTGGACAGTCAGAAACAATAAACAGAATCAAAGACAATTAATCTATTGCAGTCTACTGTAAAATATGTCATTAAATGATTTAACACCTTACAATAGCCACTTGAATTTTAAAGACAGAAAATTCACTGAATTGCTGCTGTTATTGTTTAATTTAGCATTATTTTTTAACATAGTGAGGAAAAACCTACCTAGCCAATGGGTATATTGCCATAATCATTTTCAGCAACCCTTTCTGCCCCCCAGCTCAACACAAGGTAGGAGTGGCAAAGGGCAAAGCAGTGATATCAAACCTCCTCACAGGACTGACTGTAATTAACTCCTACCCTTGGGAATCACTGTATCCTGCTAAATTATCATCTACTACCTCAAACATAAAATACCCAGCTTGCAAGCAGGATTGTAATTTTTGACATCTATTTTCAGATACCTTCCATGCAAAGTGAAAATAAATACAAAGTCCAATATATTATTAAAAAGGCCTAGAATGCAGATCTCTGCTCAAAAGACTTTCAATGCATTTGTTGGTTTTTTTTAATTGAAATAATAACACTTAGCTGTGAGGTTTTTCAGTTTTACAGCAGAACTGGAAAAGCTCTCACTGTGAGCGCAAAAATATCAAAGAGTTAAGGAAAAGTAAGAGCAGAAGCTGTTAGGTCATGCCACAAGAAATGGCAGCTTGAAAACTGTTTTTGCTATTTCCAGGTGCATAGATGATGTCACTGAAAAAGGGAAGAGGAATGAGCACAAATATTTAAGTGATTTCCTTGGGAAAGGAGAAACTTAAAAGCATGAAACTGCAGTATGGAAATACTTCAGACCAACAGGTAAATAAAATGTGTTGAAGATTTAAGGATTAAAGCAAACATCATCTCTCTGAGAACTAAATCTGCTGTAATTAGAGGTATGCAACATATGCAACACTACAATAATCAGTACTAGAAAAGTGCCAGAATAATTCAAACGGGGAAAGGAATCTATTAAATATTTTCAGATGTTAAAAACCAAGGTGTTTCAAATTGTAAATATGTCAAGACATATGAGAAGTTATAGTTTGCAATACTGGTACTCAGTTTCCGAGTAAATACATCTCAAAACACCTTTTATGACTAAAGACAGAAAATAAAAAGTGAAAAAAAAATCCATAAAAGGGAGCAGGGAAAAAGAAAAAAAAAAAGCTCTCTGTCTCCTTTATTGGTGAAAAATCGAGAAAATCAGGTGTGGCCACTGCAATAGAGATACATGACTAAAATCTGAATACTCCAATCAGGTCCTGAATTAATGAAAATGCAACTTTACACCTGTATACACGCTGCTGCTGGGTCTGAATTACTATGTCATTTGAAAGTCCTGCCATATGGCCTTAACTAGATTTTCAGGTGAAAACCTGAAATTTCTGCATTTCTCAAGTCTTGCTGCTGAAGAAAAAGTGTCCCTAAACATGCTGCCATTGCAGTTCTGTGAGCAGGAGGACTGGATTTATGAATTCAGGTTGATTCCCATGGGAAATCTCGGAAGTTTAATACTGGCAGAAATCACACTGCAGCCTTACATTACCAGGGGCTCTTGCCCCACCTCAGACAGAACCGATGGAGTAAAGGAATAGCATCATTTCCTCAGGAAAACACATTATTATAAAACAAGTGATAAGGCTGGAAACTAGGAATATTATCTAAGAGGAAAATGAAAAGCAATTTATGTCTTGTAGTGTGATATTGTCTCTCTTGCAAAGGTTAAAACATTACCAGACATGTTCTACCAGAAAGGTAGAAAATTCTCATATGAAATAATAACAGTTTTTGAAACCTGTCCTTATTGAAATAGTACTGTGATAAACAATGGAACAATTCAGAACACTAAAAATTATAATCTTATTAAGGATTGACCTGTTGATAATGTTGTTTGTATTCTAAAACTAAATTGGCCACATTTTTCGAAGCAGTATGTAAATTTAAATTATGGATATTTCAACTACACTTCTACTGTGTAACACAGTCACTTTTTGGTTTCAAGGTGTAATGAAACATTATAGTTAATTCAGGCAGGTTACACCTAAAAATTTGGTGTGACTTTAATAAAACATTTAATTTCATATTAGTGATTTCTCAAAATGAAATCATTTCACCTTGAGACATTGCTATTTCAAAAGGCATCTTTCAAGAACTGCCCTTGCTGGGTATGAACACACCATTAGGTAAAACACCCAAATAAGGTAACAAAATTTGACAATTAATGCAATTACAATTTCTTGTACAGTGTCTGCTGTCATACTAATTTAAACTAATAAATATTAAGAGCACACCAAAGAAGCTGTAATATTTTCATCTACTGGACTATATTAACTAAAGCAATAATGCAAACTACTTTTGGAAATTTCTTCAAGAGTTTTCTTTGATTTTTCCTTATTCATAAATGCTACCTTTCCTTCTTTCCATTTCCCCTTCCTTCTTTCCATTTCCCCTCTAGCTGATTAAAATGATGGGGGTTTAGATGCAATGGTTGCAAAAGCATGTGAAAGATGCATGACAAGGAGATAATGCAGGCAAGTGTGTTCTGAAAAGCTCTCACAACAACAGGACACCTGTGTAAGCCACATATTTGTGGAGATCATCAGCTACTTCAGAGCTGTGCTGAAAGCCTCTATTAAACCACAGCTTCTTGTACCATTCGTGAGATTTCAGATACCAGAAAAAAACCTATTTTCTTCAAGAACTTGATTTTATACAAGCATTTGCCAGCTGTACTTATTCTTACCTGTAGCAGAGCTGCAAACAAATATACTGCTATAAAGATGGGGGTTAAGGAAGTATGTCCACTTTTCATTAAGTGGATAGTGTACAAGAAAATCAGGTGTCCAGGAATCACCAAGAGAAGCAGAACTTGGGCTGATTTGTTATTTACTCCTGCAATTGAAAAAAATGAAAAATCAAAAACTTGGTCAAGCTCTTAAATTACTATATTAGACTTTTATTCATTTTGATATAAAAACACTCCCATTTTTGGAATTTCACAGCATTGGCTACTGTGGAGGAGCAGGTATTATTTTCTGCTAGAAGACTCCTTGAGGAATTTCACTGTCTTCCAGAAAAGGTAAGCAGATCCCTTCTGGAAAAAGGTGCAAACTGCTTTCATTCTGTGCTCATGTAATACCATCTACATTTTTGGAGTTCCTAAAGTCTTACTAGGAAAGAGGATCTTTTGGACTCCACATTCAAGACATCCTCAAAAATACCTTGCATTTCTAAAAAATAATCCCACATTTACCACTTTCACATCTGTTTCAGTTCATTTAATAAATATGGAAGTGTAACACATGGTAGTGACACATCACATTTCACCACAGTTACTACATCATTAGGGAGGTGGGAAATACAGGGGACAAATAAACTGTGAAGAAACAATCTAGAGAGAAAATGGCAAATTGTTTGTCCCTAACAGGAAATTGGCTGGAACTGCTGAAGGCAGACGAAAGTAAGGAGCAGGTAGAGCAGCTAAGGAAAGCTGAGGGTTGAAACCTTTCTGAGTGGGTATCCCAGTGTCCTGCCTAACCAGCCCTTGCCAGGGCTTCACCCTCTCTGTGCTCCTCCCTACACATCCACCCCTCAGGGAGTTTCTTGTCATTCTCACAGGCAGACAGCTGCAGGCAAAGGAAACTGCCAAGCCTCACCAGCCTCTGAACTGCACACAGCAAGCTGAGTTCATTTCTCACTGATGGTACAGTCTGGCATACAGGAGATGTGAGACAGGATTTTTAACTAAGACATACCTGTACCAAAGTATGTTCTGCATGGGTAATAGCAACCCTTGGCCTCCTCTGGCAGCTCTCCAGGAATGCTATGTAAATGGAGGTAGGTAGAAATTCTGCTAGCTTGAATAGCTACTAGATTGCCACCAATACCTGAAATGCAAAAGGGAACCGATGAAAAATATTCTATTTTTTTTCTCTAGTAGGCAGTATTTTTTCCACATTTACCAACTTCCTCTATGTTTATCACAGTACCTTATATACAAAAGTCAAAATGAGAAATATCTTTAGAATGTGTATTAGTTGTAGACAGCCTGCAAATCATCAAAATAAGTCCAAAGAATGTGGGCTACAGTTCAATGTATCACTGGGTATTTGGAGATCAGTTTGCACCATGGTAAGTGCAAAAGATTAAAAACCTTCCAAAAGGTTCAATCTTATGCTTTCCCATAGGTGAAACTCCCTTTTATTACTGCCTCTTCTTGGGAAATCCCTCTTAGATCACCAGAAGTATGACATAGTTGTGCCACTGCTGGATTACCTCCCTAGGTCAGTATTCCTGGCCAGGGAAAGTAATGAAAGCAGATATGCTCACTATCACAAACATAAATGCAGATTTCACACACAGAACCACAGGGCAGGAAAAGGCTTCAAGAGTTAATATATTCAATATATTCATTCCTCTCTGACACAAAGCATGAGTAACTCTAGTCTTCTGCCACTCATAATTCAGGCTGAAAGAATGAGTGTCTGAATAGCTGATTGTTAAAAGAATGGTAGTGATAGACATTCTACTTTCTTTCTGAAAAGGGGCAACGTGCACAAGTTGTGCTGGCAGAACATTCATCTCAATATAAAAATGAAATTTCTTACAGTGAGAAAAATCATTCACTGGAACAACCACCCCAGGGATGTGGTGGAGTCCACTTCACTGGAGGTTTTAGAGACATGACCGGATCAGGTGCTAGACAAATCACATCCAGGCTCACACAAGACTGAACCAGATTTCAAGGTTCCTTCCATTCCGGGCTGTTTCATGCTCTGTGAATTTTGACTTCAATGAACAGAAAACTAAAACAACTTTTTATATCCACATGGCAGAATGCAGCAACATGAAACCCTCCTGTTATTATACTTGAGCTGTCTACTTGCATATCAAGCCCATGCTTTTTCTTTTTCTTTCCCCACTTCAGATGCTTTACACAGCAATAGCAAAGAAGCAAATCATTCTTGTCCCCACTTCAGGAGAAAGGCCTTGTTTATTGTAGTTGAATTAATTTGTTTATCTGATGCTCTGGTTGCAGAACAAGTATTTGTGGTGACCAGAAGACACTGTTTGCAAAATTCTTTTGGTGACTATGGAGTGGCTGGCACAGAGATCTAACTGAGATCTGAAAGGAGATGTCCTGCCTCACTGCTGAATGAAGACAGCTGAAGCTAACAAGGAAGCAAGTCTTTTAAGCAAATACAAAGCAGGAAATGCATGTTCCGAGTCTGGAGATACAGATTAACTACCAAAAGGTCGAGTGAGAGTTTGCAAAGAAAATTAAAATAGCAGAAGCTCTTTTTTTCAGATGAACTAGAGAAAAAGTAACAAAGCAAGGGATTTATCTAAATTATGACAGGTTTTAAAAGATTAAAACCAACCTAAATAGGGCTCAAAGTCTGTCCTTCAATTGAGAACAATAAATTAGAGATTTCTGACTAAGGAGAATAAGGTATAGAAAGAGAGGCAGAAGTAAAATTAAGGATCAATGCACTACATTTAGATGGGGATCAGATAATTTCTGTGACTGAATTATGAAAAGCTGTTATGTAAAACCGCTTTTTAATAGAGCCACAAACCTGGGGATAGTGTCATATGACTGCAAAATACGAAACAGTTTCTGCTAAAAAAGAGGACATAAAGGCAATCTGGGTAATTATAATCAGGCTAACAACTGCAATAACTGATTTATTCACAAGACAAAAAGTTAGTAAAATATTCTGCCACTATCTGCTTCTCTGACAGCACTACAAAAAGAAATAAAGAACAGAAGTACATAGGGCTGGTTTGAGTTTTGTAGCAATGCAACTAAAAACCATTTTGGCACTACTACTACTCTCTAGATTTTAAGTATTTCCTAGGATGTATGTAATTTCCTTTTGTGAGTGGTAATTATTTGCTTCAACAAATTCACACTCAGAAATATGATAGGTGATCTGATTTTTTTCCCTAGTTAATAATAGAGGAAGCTGAATGAGATAAAAGAATTAAGAAGAATAGAAATAAATTCACTTGAAATGGTGATTAGAAAATCTGTCTGGATAACAGACATCAACAAGTCTATGAAAGAAGGTATAAGATTGGTTGTCAATTCTTTGATGGAGAGCTATTAATGACAAATCTTTTCACTTTTGTAACCATCATTTAGAGAAAGTCCTCCCCAAGCCCTATTGCTCATGTAGATAGCAAGAAATTACTGACAAGTATCAAAAGTGATTCTAAAACAAACTGGCCAGCCATGGAATACTGGTAAAGGAGGTGACAGCTGCTCTGCAAAGGAAGCTGACAAGCTAACCAAAACAGCCAGCGTGGTGTGTGATTTCAAGAGGCGTAACTAATTACTGCAGAGTTGAACAATCTGTTTTATCTAAATGGAAATGAAATATTTGTATTTTCAGCAAAATTATTTTAAATTTTATTTGTCTGAGCCTCAATAACCTAATATTAGTGATATAATTTGAACTCACAAAAGATAGCCAGCTATAGTAAAGTGTAAATTCTTCTAGAATCCGTACATCCTGCTCAGACTCAGTCAGCCAACAATGTATGGTAGTGACAGCAGCAGTGACACTGTATTTCAGTTCTGTCCATTCACCTATCAATTACCCTAATTATTTTTGAACTTTTGGGCCAATTTCAACCACATCTGACACAAGGACAGACATGCTAACTACTTCCAGGCATGGTTAAACAATCTACCAAAAACAAAACCGTGACTAGATAAATAAAGGAAAAGATCCAAACCCATGTCCTAAGTGAGACAAAGACAGTAATGTGAATTATATAGTTCATGGCATAAGCATAAGCAGGCCAGCTGGCCAGACAGCACTCAGCTTGGAGTGAGGCATGATGCCTCTGGCTCAGCCAACAGCTCAGTGAGACAGAAGAGGAATGGCAGTATTGTGGAAAGCAGAGGGGAAAATGGAATGTTGTGAGCAGCAGATATAGCAGGAACACGAGGCAATAGGGAACACTGCAGGTTGTGTCTAAGAACCTCAGGATACAAATGAGAACAGAATCAGGTTTCCACTATTCTGCTGGTCACAGAATGACTTGTAAAAGGCTGAATGAATCACTTCAATGTGTACAGAGATACTCAGTTTGTTTGGTAACAGCAGCTACTGTGCATGTGCAGTTACCATCCCAGCTACACCAGATTAATCAGATCCCTGCAAAAAACAGAAAACAGATAAAACTGCGTAGGTTGGCAAGATGTCTATATGCAAAACTGATAATTTCTCTGCATCTTCTAAATGTATATAATGGTCACATGCTAAGTAGCTGCTCATATTATTAAAAGCTCTGTAGATGTATATGAGGACTGTTTGCATGAACATTTGATTAATCCAGAAATTTTTCTCCTGGAAAACACTATTGCAGGCATCATAGCAAATACAAAATTTGCAAAGACTTACTTCTTTAGTTTCCCTTTCATTTTTGCAAGAACTACAACATAGGGGAAAACTATTCATTTCAAAAGTAAAATCCAGCAATTATTACTTCATTCATCTCAGAACAGCAAATGTGTTTAACTTCAACATGAGAGTGCTGCTTTGTCAATAAACAGAAGAGACGTTGTCTGCTAAAGTGCAAAAGATGTCACACTGACTTACAACTTTGAAAGAAAATTAAAAGCCTCATCATTTTATCATGGCAGTTTAGGGCTAAGCAAGAACATTTTTTGTAAAAATTATCACAGGTCTTTTGTCTAACAAGCACAGGAAAACATATTGAAAGTAGAGCCAAAACCACGCCATGTATTTGCAAACAGGCCTAAGGGCACAATTCAATTAATCATCATCTGATAAAATGAATTTTTTCTAACAATAGAACTAACCATGCTATTCAGAAAACCACATTAAAGCACTTTACTTCAATGAGTCTTAATACTTCAAAGTAAATCTCTGTCTCATAACTCAGTGCAAGTAAAAAAACCCAAGAAGTTAAGGGAAGCTGGATCTTGTTGATGAGGATCAGTCTGAGATTATCCACAGCTCTGGGTAATGCATTGGGCTGGTTTGCTCCTCAGATCTTACACTGCACTTTTTTACAAACAGAGTAAGGCTTTTCAGGGAGTACTGGGAGGAGTAGTTGATAAACCAGAGGGCTGTGCTTGCTGCCATTCAGAGGGACCTGGATAGGCTGGAGAGCTGGGTCAAGAGAAATCTCCTGAAATTCAACAAAAGGAAGTGTAAAGTCCTCTATTTGAATAGGAATAACCCCATGCACCATGTTATTACTAACCAGGAAAAAATTGTGGATTAAGTACTTGCTTAGTACAAGGGGAGAACTGTACAATAGGCAACAAAAATTTTTCAAAGCAGTATTCAACTACGTTATGTATGAAGTCCTTTCCTATAGGTCCCCATCTCATTCTTCTTTTTTATTACTCATTTCCTTAAATACATATCATTGAAGAATTGTTCCTATAGAAAACTGCCTCCAGTGAGTGTATTGAGAGCACCAGATAAAGTGAACTTACTCAGCTTTAATGATCACTGCTATAACTGTTCATGAAAATGTAAATAGTTGCATAATGATGCACACAAAAAATTGTGTAAGAACAGGCAAAGAGAGATTAAAGGTTTCTAGAAACCCAGTTCTATGGGGAGGGATTAATCAGTCACAGAATACTGTGTTGTTCCCAAGCACCTATAATATACAGCTTGTGCAATGGGCCTAAAATCAATTAATATCTACATAAGGGGAGAATTAGGCCAACATAATTCCCAAACTGGATCTTTCTTGTAAATCTATCAAGAGAGAGAAAGGATAGAAGATTCTCACTTTTGCACACTCCTGAGCACAATGCATAGTTCAAAACAGTCAGTTTTGCCAAACGGGCGTTTTTGAAGTTCAATATTTGCATGATAAAAATGAAATTAAAAGGAAGGAAAAGAATCTCAGTTTTGTGACCAAAAACTCTAAATTTTGGAATCATCATCTTATCTTTCAGAAAATACAAGATGGATTTTTGCCCTGACCCCTCTACCATTAATTTTTAAAAATCCTGTTTTATGCAAGTGAAATACTTAGATTAGAAACCTAACTAGCTACCTATATGTATGGATTTTTTTTAATTCATCTTCCATTTTGTTTTGTAGATTTTTTTTAATACTTACAAATGTTTGGGTGAAAACAGATGGAAAATATTAGCTTTACCTAGATGGATGTTTTTTAAGAGAAACCTTTATTATATATACAACTATTGCACTCCATGTTTGATTTGACTCATAAATAATTTCTTTCCTATGACTAATATAAAATTGTTCTCTGACTGTCAAAAAATGAAAATGCTCTGGATATAATTGTGTTGCGAAAATGACACAATGATTACTGAAATATTCTAAAAAATTTACAAGTAAGACTTAAAAGAAAGATCACACATTATAAAAGTATATATGTAGATTTACATGTACAAGTTAGCAACTAAAAGGTAGTAAATCTGTCACCCAATAATGCATCAGAATAACAAAAATCAAAACCCTCCTCCTTATTCATGCCAAAATAAAGAACGAATTATAAAGTTCTCATACAGGAGAGCTGCCTTCTGAGACTAACACATTCTTTCCAATTCAGGATGCAGAAAAATTAATTTGCTACCCAGCCAAATTGCCCTACTACCATCCAGGTACACGAATGTTTTCCCTTGTGATTTACCAGAGGCAAATTTCAGATGCTCAGCTCTTTGAGACAATGGTTATACTCTAATCAAAACACCACTCGGTTGTGAGAAAAATCAAAGTACAACTATGCAAAAAGAAATTAAAACATATAACTATTAAAATATGTATTTTATTTTTTTGAGTAGAAATGGTTTCTTGGTATTTTTTCCATATTCTCTAAAACAATTTACAGTAAAAGCTCCCTGAAAAACCTGAAAATCTGTAATTTAATTTACCCTACTAACAGATTAAAAAAAAGCAATGTGTTGCATAAGACTAATTTTCATCTCCCAGACAACTGGCATTCATTAAGTTCTGTATTAAATTTTCTCATATGTATTCCTTGTTACCTATGTATTCCCTCCAGATAGCAAATACTTCTAAAGTGTGGACAGCCAAAGAGTAAGAAACTTTAAAATAGATTTGTGTTACCTTTAAAGAGTACTGCTTCAAACCACCTGCAAAGGAAAGTCTTTTGATATGAAGTTTTTCCAAATTTCAGGTGTTTTCAGAATTAATTTGCAGAGCTTTCATTCTTCAAGGTGCATAAAAATGGGATAAAGTCTACTGACATGTTGGTTATTACCCAGTAATTTCTGAAATGCAAATACTTAGAAGATATCTCACAATGTTTTTATAAGCATACAACAAAAATGGAAAGGGAAGTGGCTCTATCTGGTAACTGCACCTTAGCTCATTTCTGTTGCATATTCAGAAGCATGTAATTGTTTAAGATATTATCTTTTTTCTGCACTAAAGGAATTTGGTTACTTGCAAATTGCAAATCCTGGGCCAAATCCAACATGCTGTGATGCTATAAGAGGATTTTTAAATTTTAACCGTCTCGTTCATGAGAAAACACAACTCAAATCAACTTGAGTATCTAGACTGAAGCATAGCCACACTTGGGCTTAGTTATTTTATTCAGACCTTCAGTACATCAGAGACATCTAAATCTCAAGTTGTCTGCAAGTTGCCTGAAACAACAAAATCATTTATTTATTTTCAAAAAGCAGAGATCCAATTTAACCCAGCCCACAGTAGAATTAAAAATAACTATTCATCTCAAGAAATGTGTTTAACAGTAGGAAAATGGAAAAAACAGTTGTGAAATATGTCTGGCCACCAGATGTAAAGCTGACTATAAATGCCTTTCTGCTTAAAAACTATTTTAATATTTTGGGTAAATATTTGTAGTTATTGTTAATAGGGGTGGGAACCTTTGAGGTTGCTCAAATTCCAAACCAGTGTTTCTTAAACTAAAATATTTATGGCTTCACAGAGTAAGACATGGTCAAAGTCACTTGTCTCACATCTAAGAATAAGCAGATTATCTAGACAGGACTTGGATGAAATCTATTTAATGGTGCACAGGAAGCCTAACACTTGACCATTTTGCAGTCAATGATGTTCAGGTGTTCAAGATACAGCAAATGGCCCTGGAAAAACAGTGACAGCTTGAAATTCTGGACAAATTTACACTCTCCTTAAATTCTGGCTGGACACATTCCCAGTGGAAAAGAATATTTTTTTCAGGCTTCCCCTTGTTTTCTTCCAGGTTTTCTCTGCCATAGGAGCAACAAATTTGCTGGTAAAAAAAAAATAAAATGGGAAAACCCTCATTTTCTTTTGCTACTTAGGCTTATAATGAGAATTCCAAGGCCAAGAAAGGTAGAGAAAACTTTCTGCAACAGTAACATTTTAAAAGTCATCTGTGAAGTGACCTTTCATGTCAGTAAATGAGTGTCAACAGATGTGCTTTTTTAACTGAAGAGCTTCCTTACTCCCAGTTTACTACACTGTACTGACCAGAAATATCAAAAGGTGTCAGTAGAATTATGAAACCCAGGAGAAACTAATCCAACAGCAACCCAAAAAATTACCCACCTACAGTTTCCTTTTCCAGGAGGTGTACCATAAAACCCTGCATCCTCTCCACAGACCATATTTTCTCTATATTTTCCAATAGAAATGCCTCGACCTTTAGAATTCTGAGTCAAGCTTGCCTCCTGCTATCCCAGCCTCCTGGAAAGACTCCTTCCCTCCCTGCCTGCTCCAGCAGCCTCAGCTTTCCCTCTCTTACACCTGCCTAACTTTTCGAAGATCTTTTGACCTGTCAGCAAAACCTCCATGGCTCTATAGCTTTTGGCTAGTTCTTTTCCCATAAAGACAGTTCAAAGGAATGTATGGACATTGCCTTGACACTGGTTTGGGTACGCCTGCCTAAAAAGAAAAAAAACAGTCCTCCTCTCTTAGAAAGAAAATACAGGGGTTTAACTAAAAAAGGACTACTATAAGAAAAGTTACAGGTGTAAAGCAGAAAAAAGCTGAAGATCAGCATGTCTGCCTTGCCTTTTAGGCATCTGGAAATCAAAATGGAAACACACAAGGGTTAGACGCAAATATTTCCAATTTTGAATTAATAGAAAGGCAAGGAATGGGCAAGGAAACAAAACGGCTATAGTGTAAAAATTAATTTACAGTTAGCAAGGAACTCAAGTTGCAACACAGAAACGCTTCACATTAAATGTAAGAAGAAAGGAAATGTAAGAAGGAAGAGGGCCTTAATGAGAAAGAAGAGCAAGCAACATGCTCTTCTAAAGACTGAAATACTCAGTTCCTTTTGTCTACTTTTGCCTTCATAAAAATGGTGATACCTGATCACAAGCTGATAAGTAGTAGGGCCTGAGGGTTAAGTTAAATTTACTGCATCTAGAGAGCTAAATGAACAATCCATGAAGTATTAGTGATCATTTTTGAAAACTGATTATCTTGGGGGTTAGAGAATACCTGAGGGCTGCGGTGGAGAAAAGAAAAAAATAAATCTTTAAAAAGAATGATACAGAGAATCTGTATATCAATTAAATTTATATTTCTATGTAGGAATTAGAGCAAATTATTAAAAGGACAATTTATAAGCATCCAGAGGACATGAAAGCTGTAAAACAAAGGCTAATATGAATTTGCTAAGCACATGCTTCTGTCAAAGCCTCTAACTGAACAGCTTGTGTAATATTTGCAGCAACAGATCTACTAACTCTCAACCACAGAAAAGCTTATATAATGTTTGGGTGCTATCCAGTGTTACATTTCCATTAACAATGTCTGGAAAATTAATTATATCAAGGCAATGTGGTTCAAAACTAAAACCCAGTGACCATATTAACATCTTATTATCAAGGTGGAAAGGAAGTGGCCGTAATTCATTTAATGTATAGCTTAGAAAACAGAATAAAACATTCATTTGAAATTTGCAAGGGCCAACTTAAGTTAAAACGGAATCACCTTGGTAACTAGAGAAATGGTTTCAATAACAATACATAAAAGTGCAAATTAATGTAAGAAATCAAATGGAAAAATACAAAAAGGAGAAAGAACAGCTAGGCAGCAATACAGTGGGAATAGATCTGGTGATTATAGTTGTTGCAAACTAAATAGGTATCAACCCTCTGGTACTGTACTAGAACAGAAAAGCATTTTCAAACTGCACAAGTCTAATAAGATAAAAACTATTCTTCTATAATTTGCCTTGTTCTTGTCATTAGAAGATAGAACACTTAACTTAAGGACCAAATTTTCACAAATTCATTCTTGCACATCTGAAAAGTGCATACCAATCATTGGAAACAACACATATTTTTCTTGAGAAATCTATCTACTTGCCTGCAGTATGCTTCTTAGTTCTTATATCTATATACATTACAGGTTGAGAGTAAATTATTGTTTGAAAATTCGTCCTTGAATGCTCAGAAAAAAAAAACAACCTTTGAAATAAAATTTTATCTACATTTTCCCAGCCATAACTGCTTCAACGTAATACTTGATAATTTCATATTTGAATATACTCCTTCAATATTTACACTTCCAGTTTCTTAATGCATACTTGAGATTTCTACTTCTCACATTCTCTATCATGTTTTAGTGGCTGTAGTGAAAACAGGAAGCACTTCTCAGGTGTTCAAACAAACAGGTGCTGACATCAAAATCAAAACTTGAAATTAATATTCCAGATATTAATTAACACAGGAGAAATTTACTGTAATAGACAATTCTCAGAACAAGGTGTATCAATTGAGCATATCATAGTAGCAATTAATCCCGTCAGAGTCTTACCATTAATTACTGGGGTATAAACAACAATTCCAACCAAGTTAGGATCAGATACAGTTGTGTCCAGAATAAGGCCACCAATACTGAAAACAAAGTACAATATTTAGAATGAGAAAAGCAAGACCATTAAATAGTATTTTAAAAATTTTATAGCAATCTGACTTAGATCATCTTCAAGCCAGGACTTTAATCTCATCTTTCCCGTGTGCCATTACTCCATTCTGAGCCACAGACTAACATCAGTATAGGTATTCACTTTTTCAAATTGGCTTCTTGTATAACAAAGACCACAGAGTATTAGCCAATTCCTCTACTTTTAAGATTCATAACTTTCATTGGATTAAATAATCTCTTAGATCAGTGCTAAAAGTCTAAAGCCTAAATTCTAGAGGCTGTCTCTTAAGTACAATGAAGTAAGATACACAGAGATACAGGATGACTACCAAGATGTTTCCATGCAGCAAGACAGACTTACCTGCTTATAATCATGGCAGTTATAACAGGCTCCCATCCTGAATGGAGGACAGTTCTGGTAGCTGGGTGTTTGGCAGCTATGACAATCCCCATCGGAGTCAGAGCCAAAAAAAAGGCACCAACCAAAGGAGATATATAGTAATATGTCTCTAAAATAATAATGAAGAAAAAAAACCACAAAAAAACCTCTTTTACTCTCCAGATATTCCTACATTTTTTTTAAATTTAGAATTCTAAAATAAATTATGATTTATGCCATACAATCGAGGAATTTTAACAGTCTTTGTTACCATTACACCTGAAGTTTCAACTACTGCATTAAACAACATGGTTAATATCTGCCATTTGTGATCATTTTCTCTCATCTTCTCAAGAACAGAACCATCAGTACAAAGAAGGAATTTTGAAGAGGATTTTTGTATGATGCTTTATGACAAAACAATACAGTAAGGACGTAGAACAGAAAACATTATTTTGTAACTGAAGAAAAATTTTAAAAGAAACTGAATATAATAAAAGTGCATTTTGTTTATATCCAAATTCTCAGCATATGTACACTCCCTTCTTCCCAAAGCAAGTAATATGGTAATCTTTCCAGCATATCTAAAAAGATTCAAGCACAATGTGCAAAATCAAGACATTTATATCAGTAGCTCAGTTGTTTCACAGCCACTCTGAGTCTGAAAATTAACAGGCAATTCTGCTGCTTGCACCTACCCATGAGAATTCCATCCTATTTCATAGGAATACAACTGCAAACACTGCTGAGTACCATCATAAAGCTGAGACTGTAAAGTGAACAGCTGCTTTCACAGAAAGAACATTATTTTTTTCTGATTACTTGGTTTTATAATCTCATCCTCACAGAAGCTACTACAATGATCCAAGACTTCCTAATTCAACAGTGAGGTAAATAATGGAAAATTTATTGTATGTGTTTATCCACAGTTTATGTGTATAAGCTGTGCAAATATTCCACTTTTAAATATTTGTTTTATGAGAAGTGTGATCATGTACCTAATATTAAAACACATTTTGCTGAAACCTTCAAAACTTAGACAAGTCATACAGCAAAATATATTTTAAATTAACTTAAAATATTCTCACCCATGCATTATGGCTTATTACAATGACTGCAAATCCAAGCAATTACTACTTTGATGTTACCTTAGTGGATCTCCTGAAAGAATTGCTGTAGTATTTTTAGAAGTTACTACCCTTCTGCATTGAGTAACAATCTCTGCAGCAGAGCCAGCAGAAAACATAGTAAGCTAAGTTTCCCTGGGCAAACTAAAAGTAGAAAGCTATTAGATTGAGAACAAGACATCTAAAAGAGAAGCATTATTTTCCTGTCTTTATCTAATTATTCTACAGTGCATTACTTCCCTCTTCCTTTGTGGGGTCTTTTTTTCCTCCTTTCACCTCTTTTTGTGACCTGAGAGATAGACCAGTGAGAATACTCAGCTCCAAGCTAACTCTTGGGAACAGTAAGGAACATTTGTTTTTTGGTTGTTTTTATTTTAATCTATGGGAGACTCTACTGGTAGAACATTTTACTACAAAAATCTAAAAAGATTAATCTTGAGATCCATCTTTAATGGAAGGATAGACATCTTCCTCTTCATATTTAATTCACAGAATAAGCAAATGAATTTTACAATAGCTGAAGAATGGGAAGAGAAAATAAATGAATTCTCTTTTAGGGCTCATTTCACTCCATTTTTGTTAGATTTATAGCAGGCAGCGTACATGGGAAAAGGCATCTTGCTCAAATAATGCAGCCTCTAGTAGAAATTAGAGATAAACTGGAAATACTCTACTTCAAAACAACTGGTAAGAACCTGAAAACAATAATATGAATCACACAATTTGTCTTCTCAATCCGAATCAAACATATAAGGGAGCTAAATGCATATTCTGTGAGAAAAAAATGAAAGCTTTAAAGGAGTTTTCAAATCTTTACTGACAAATAATAGGCAACACGGACCTTCACATTTAATTTACTGAGTGTTCCTATTCCAGAGCACTTCTTGTGTTCAGTTGGAGGAAATATGGCAGAGATGGTCCTGGGGAGCCCTCTAGTGCTTTCCCCAGCTATTTAACAAGGATTCACAGAGCTCTTTTTAGGGAGTTGTTAAGAACTGTTAACCTTTTACTATTTAAATCCCCTTGTTTGATAACTTTCTCACTATTTTTAAAGCACTCAAATGAACCTTGAAGAAACTACATATATGTGATGGTGGCCAAGCAATTGGCCCTGGCCTAGGTAAAAATGCTACAGTCCTTTCCCCTGCCTCTTCAGGGTATGCCATAAAGTATTGTATCAACTCAAAGCCTGCACACCCTGTTATAGACATTTTGTACACAAATAATTTCCATCCTTCCAGTCTTGTTGTTTGAAAACTGAAAAAATTCATCCCATGCAGAGAGCAGCAAGAGACATATTTTGTTTCAGACCATTCCATCAGTTAGGCTAATAAATCACACGGGAAAATAGTTAATTCTGAACACAGTTCAGAAGTGAATCCCACCTATTTCATTACTACCTGTAAACTGCAGATTTCTTTTTAGCATTCCTATTGGGCTTCTTCTAGCACTGAGAAAGCACAGAAAGAACATAAGAAAGAACAACTGTGCTGGATGAGGCACAGTTCTCATCTAGTCCAGTATCCTTTGTCAGACTATGGCCAACAGTTCAGGCTTATGGAGAGAAGAAAGGAAAAACGACAGGTATAGAGTAATGCTTCTTTCATGCTCTGCCAGCTTCTGCTGAGGTTTGTATGGGGGATTCCATCTCTCAAGTCTCTACCTGCATCTGTCTGGTCAATATTCCTCAAAGGGCTCCTCTCTGAATGGTTTATCCAAAGTTTTCTAAAATCACTCTGGTTCTCTTAATACATCACAGCAGTAAGTTTCACATCCCACTCATGTACTGTGTAAAAAAATGTCATTAACTTTTTTTAACCTGTTGCCTAATCATTCTCTGAATGCCTCTTCCCTGCCATTCACAACTTGATATACCTTGCCCGAGCTCCATACTTTCATTCCTTGTTACTATTTCATAGTTCAAATACATGCATCTTGGAAACCACTTATTTCCAAGGACTTCGTGGCATGTTCTTTCTTTAGAAAGACTGTCTTGTTTTCAAAAGAAGGAAATACAATGACATGGAAAAAAATACAAAAAGCAGAAGGAGTCATTTTAGTGGTAACTAGATAATTACATACTCCACCAAAAGAGAAATATTTCTAGAAGACAGAAGTCTGGGAGTAACTCTTGAAGCCTACTGATGCTTACCCCTACAAATGTGGGATCTGCTTTCCAGCTGCAGTGGCAGAGAAAAATGTCAGTGGTCATGACAGCTATAAAAGCAGCAAAGGATCAGTTCAACCTGTACCCACTTCTTTCTTTATTTCTCTGAGACATATTAGAACACATGTATATAGAAATGTAAACTTCTGGAAATGTGTGAAAGGAAGAAAAAAGTCCAAGTTTTTTTACCCATCTTTTTTGGTGGGGTTGAGTGTTTTTTGTTTAGATTGATAGATTAAAAGGAATAGCATGTTATAAGAGTTTTTCTCATCAGAAGAAAAGAAAGAAGAAATGCTAAAGAAGATCTTCATCAATTTTCACTGTAAATTTGCAAACTTCCTAAAAAGAAGTGTTTAAAACGAATATTTGGAAAATACAGTCATTAGAATATAATATGAAGTATTTAAATATAGTTATGAAATAACAATACTATCTGAGTTTTAACAAAAGTAGAGAAAATATTTCTAAAATACTTCTTTTGCACACTGATACACTTAAGCTGACATCATGACAACACTCTCTAAACATGAAAAACCAAACACTGTAAAAACAACTGCAAATCACACCATGGTAGCTTGAGTCTTACCAGATACTTTTTCTGGCTGATGTTGTAATACTTCCATATGAAAAGGTCTGGGCAATGAACTGTAAAAACTATATGTGATGATATCAGCATCTCTGGTAAGTTATTGTCAACACAGTATTTTATCTGTGGTATATTATACTGCAATTGCCTACAATCATGTCTTTTAAAACACAATAAAATTTTAATTGTTTCTATGGAATTAGTTTCAGCAATGATTAAATTTTGAATAAGGCTCTTAACGTTCTTTTTCCACAGTGAGAAAATGTTTTCACATTATTTGTTTCTTCATTATCATGGTTTGTACTTCACATGTAGGTTGACTGTGATATTGTCAAAGTCTTTCAGATATTCCTAGATTGTGCCAAAGCTCAGGTTAGTGACTTCTATGATTTATTTAAAAAAAAGGAAAAAATCATGGCACTCTAAGATTTACCATTCAATGGTATAAATGTTGACAAAAAGTGAGTCAGACTAAAAGGTTTGCTGAACCTCTCCCTCACAGCCTTCTCCCCACCCTCCAAACCCCAAAAAGGTTCCTGGGGAGTTATACACATTTAAAAGCACACTTACCAAGGCAAGTGTATAGACCCTGACTTATCCATGCTAGTATGGCAAGGGTGATGAGATCTCCAAAGCTTGCTGCTATAGGAGTGGCAACGTTGTCAGGATTAATACCAGTCTTCTTAGATCCAACAATAACTCCAACCATTATCACTCCTAAAATCAACAAAGAAGAGAGTACAGCAACTGTATCCAACTGTTGCAATTCCACAGAAAATTCCAAGATTTGGACAATTTCAAACTTGCTTTTTTTTCCCAGGATGATTGTTCTTCCCATCATCATCTGATGGATGACTGTGTTTTTAAGTTCTAGCTATATTAAAAAATGGACACATACATTTTTAAAAAACACAGTAAGCATGGAGAAAAACCCCCAAGCACCATCTGTACAACAAACTACTTCACTTGACTAGAATTAGCACTACTGAAATTGTAAGCAGCTATTTCCTGAAGAAAAAAATATGAAACGCATTCTTTCCAACCCTGGTAACTTCACCTGACTGAAATTTAAATCAACCTAGGCTGAAAACAACTTAAGATTAAATACTTTGACATCTGATATTGCATAAGGCTATCATGGAGTTAGTACCAAATACCAAGATGCTACAAAATAAACTAAACCCAAGACAACATATAAAAAATATTACTTGCTACACACTTGAAAAAACTGATTAGAGGTTTTAATTTGTATTTTTTCCTATAAACATCAACATTAACTTTTGAAGAATAATCTCTCTGCAAAATGCAAATGGATACTAAAAATAAAACTTGCATTGCCACAGTCTTTGGCACAGTAACTTCCCTCTCATCATATATGTAAGAACTTCAACTGCATACGCTATTCTTTATGTTATATTATGCATGGTATGCTACATTAGGAGTTCACTTTCAAAGAAACTGCCTAAGGAGTTATACACCAGGAAATTCTCTAAAGAAAGAACTGGAATGATCCTGTAGGACCACAATATTTCAAAAGCACCTATTTCACATGTAGGAGGACAAAGCTTAGAAAGTAATTTCCTGGACTGGCCCATCACCAGGACAAAAACCAAAGTTTCTCTTCACGTCCAAATCATTCATGAGAAGTGTAAAAAATGCACTCATGCTCCCCAGTCCTCTTGCTGCCCTTAATTCTGCACATGATCAAACTCAGTGACCTTCACTAAAAAACACATGTGCTCTTAATTCCATACAAAACTTCAATATTTTTGTAATTTTCACATAAGTAAGCATAGAAAAGCAGGAAAGCAAGAAAGTTACTCATTTAACTTGACTTACTATTCTTAAGACTACTGACCATGTATTTTCATTAAGAACATGTCACAAGTAGAGATACTTCCCTCCTCCCCTTCACATCCATTAAGTACAATCTTTTATGATTAAATGTTTCCTGACAATTAGGAAGAGAATTAAATTCATCATGACATATTGCTCCAGACAGACACTGGCACTGTTTGTAGAGCTGGACTTGAACTTGGTCCAAACCCTTCAAATAATGAGCCAAATTGTTCCCTTCAGCCACAAAGCAGAGTACAAACTAACACACAAGCAGCACAGGCAACCTGCAACTTTGAATTCAGTAAAGCTAACACCCAGGATCACTCGAGTGTAATTATAAACAAGTTTTACCTGCTTAGTACTAAGAATATATTTTGTACATTAATGAATATAGAAGCAGGGGGAGAAGTCCTGCATCATAGTAGGTGAAGTCCCAAGACCATACTTTTTTGTTTGGAGATGCTCAGGAGGTCATACAAATCAAAAGCTTTCCAAAGACTATGACAGGAGAGGAATACAATATGCCCACCTATACGGAAATTGCAAAAGGGCATCTTATCCTCAGCTGATTTTCAGATGTATTGTACCTTACTGGATTTAAATTTTAAAGGAATTGCAACGTAAGACACATTCTGCATCCACAGAAAAATATATAACTGCACAAAGTAACACATGCACCCCCTTTACCTTGTAAAAGAGAAGCTATGAAGGCAGTTGCTACACTGCTAGAACACAGAAGGACTGAATGATCAAAGCGGTATTTGCCCTCTGGAATCCAGCCCAATATAACTGCTGCCACTGCTGCCAGAAAACCAACTACTGTTGCCTGAACCTGGAAAAGAAAGTGAATTCATAAAATAACTGACAGACTTAGGAGGACCAGAGAGTCATTTTCTGTTAGCCTTTCCTCCTATCTACGTTTACATGCCATGTATAACAGAAGCATGCTCATCTGTTTTGTAGAGAGGATGATAACTTTGGACGATTAAGAAGAAAAATCTTAGGCCAGCAGAAAAAGATTTACCAGCATTTTACAGACTCCAGAATAACAAAAGTAAAATCAGGGAGAGGAGCTCAGGATTTACAAGATGCCAATGCCTAAAGAAGCTTCTAAACCACTTAAAGTAATGAAGTCACAATATAAATATTTCACCTGTGTTTTAGGAATGTTACATTATAACTTATGAATAAGAAATAGCTCTCAAGAAACAGCAGCTTTGGAGAACATGCACTCCTTTGCTCAAATGGCCCAGCTATCTAAAATATTGTTTATTATCCAAAAGCTCCATCACATATTTCCTTTAAACATTGAATCCAATGCAAACACGGTACTAGAAACATTTGAAAGGTCATATTTAAAAGGCTTTGCCAAATCTGAATTTTTTCTCTAATCACCCTCAGATCCTTTCTCAGGAAAAATTTTAAGAAAATACCCTTGGTACAGTCACAAATACTACTTTACCTCTTCTTCTAATAAATATAAGCTCATACTGTTTTAGAGAAGAGTCAGTGTAGTAGAGCTACTTTCTCATTAACACTGATCATCTCAGTGTTATTTGATTTGTGATTTAACTTTTTCAATAACTTCACTCACTTACAAGAATTAATTCAATAAACCCATTATATTTACCTGTTTTAAGGCCAAATTGCCAATTATTAGGTTCCATTTCTCAATGGGAGAATCCATTTTTCCAATATTTACCTATCAAAATTAGAAAAAAAGATCAGACATTTGAGGTTAAAATGGTATTATTTGAAAATACCCAGGAATAATTCAGCTAATAAAATAAAATACTTTGATTAAAAAGAAGATAGATCTTTTAAAAATCAAACATTGCTTTTGATTCTAAATCATACTTGCAGCACCCTTCCAAAAGCAGCTAAATTTGACGCAGTTTTACAAAGTAACTTATTTAACATTAGCTTGCTCTGCAAGATATAACAGCCACATTACATTCCTGGATTGCCCAAGCACCACCAGTGATTACATCAGTGGCTGGAAGATCCCTTTAGACTGAGCTTGCTTCTGTGGTGCTGAAATTCTGAAAATAAAAAATGCTAGACTCTAATACTCTTTAGCATTCTAACTTTTCATTTATACAATACAGCTAGAGATTTTTGATGCTATAAATGATGTAAGTCCAGCATTAAAGTAGTAGCTGAAAGAGATAGCAAATACATTATTCTAAGAAATTTTAAAGTACATACATACCCTCTTACAATGTATTTCCTGCTTTTGATTTTTTTTGAGTTAGAGGACAAGATCTGATGAACGACACAAATCACTACAGTATTACTGTCTTTAAAATTACTTTCTTTTTGAGATAACAGAACATCTTTTTACAAGTTGAGCATAAATTTTAGTGGCTTTTCCCACACAATACTAATTTATAAGATAATAAGCTTCTCAAAAAACAGAAAGACTTCATGCATATATTTTTCTTGGTAATTCCTTTTCAGAAGATTTCAATTCAATTTCTTTTCCATTTTGTTTCATTTTGTGATAGTAGTGACTTGAAAGGAACAAATTATTAAAAGAAATGCTAATTTAAAAACAGAAATATAATAAGGCATTTTATCTCAATCACACTATAAATATTTTATAATGTTCAAACTACAGTGAAAGCTCTGCAAATCCATCCAGTAAGTTTAGTACAGCAGTTGTTTCAGGAACTGCTGATAAGAATCTCCATTGCATCCTTCTTAAGCATACATATGCCAAATGAACAAAAAGGAAGGCTGTGGAGAGTTTCACTTCTCTCCTTTGAAAAAGTTTTAGAAAAGTATCCCAAAAATCCCTGTAAAAAAAAGTAATCTTGCAAAATGCTTAATCCAGCCTAAAGGTGATCTCCTGCAAATGCCACAGCTCTTCTTTCTCCTGCTGTCACCTACACATTCACATTTGCTTTCTTGATCCAGCTCCATGACTGAGTTCACAGCACCAAAAATTTGCTGATTTGATGGAAAACATTTTTATTCAGGGAGAGAAAAGGGGTTTTCTGCTATAAAATTATCTAATTGATCACATCCAACCATGGAGCCTTGCACAAATCAGAGTTTGGAAGTGAGAAAGGGGAAGACCACTCCTTGCAGCTGCACATTTCCATAACCTGAGATCAAGTTTATTGTGATACTGTGAAATAGATGGATCTAAACAAAAGGTTTGTGAAGTCATACTAATGCTTGACAATGATAACACACAATCTGAACAAGAGTCTGCACAAATTTACAGGAATTACCGAATAAGTGGTGTTTTGGTGTTGGTGGTGGGTCATTTCTTGTTTTTTTTTTTTTTTTTTCTGTTGTTGCTCTTTAAAAATGAAAAAGGAATAGAGAGAAAAGAAGTGTGAATTGGAGCAATGAGAATGAGCCAAAGAACAGAACAAAGCCGAAGAACTGAAGGACACAAAACACAATATAAATAATGTGCCTGAATGGGCAGTTGACCTAAGTGCACCTCACAGTTATGCCAGCACAGCAGTTGGCACAGGGAGAAGGGCTTACAGAGGTAGAATTCCAGAAGCACCTTTTGGCTCTTTGCTCCATGCATTCTACATATGAAGTAACTTCTGGTGGGATGAAAATATGAAAATGTGTTAAAAACAGTAGGCTGTAAGATTGCCAGGGTATGGAGAGTTTACATTAACAACAAAGTGAAGTAAAAGCTATGCCCTGAGGTAGATGAAAAACATAGTCTTGAGACAGATTTCATGAAATAACTGATTCTGAAGTGGATGGGAAATCGTGAGTGATCAGTAAGATGCAGTTGAAAGGGAAATTTGGGCAGCAAGATGAATGAAAGTGACCAGATAATGCTTGAAACTGATGTACTACGGATAGGAAACTTGCTAAGAAGACATTACTGTTTGGCTGACCACATAATTAACAGTGAAGTAAAGATAATTAGTTTACAGCCCCAAGAGCATACACATGTCTGCAAATTCAGATGCAATTATAAGCTAAATGAGCAAGCAGGGCATGAATTAACTCCAATGCTGAACTCATGTCAGAAATTTCCTCCTCAAAAGGTAAAGCTGGTCACAGGGGCAGAGTCTTGCTTTTACTTAAAGACATGTGTCTGCTGGGGAGCCAGATAGTGCAAACGTAGGCTAGAGAGGGAAAGATTAATCAGGCAAGTGGGTTTCAAATAACTGTTTAGATATACTCTGAATTAATGTTCTCCTGTTCTCATCTAAGATGAGGATGAAAGGACCAAAGGTTGGGTGGCTAAAGACAGTAGGGGTCAATGAAATCAAAGGGAAGTATGCAAAAGTCAGAATGACCTCTTTCTGAGAGAACTGGCATGTAAATTGCAGGTCTAGCAGTACACCATCACCTCTAACAGGTTTCCACGGCTTTGGTTTGGGGTTTTATTTATTTGTTTGCTTTTTAGGTGTTTGGGGTTTTTTAACATATAAAACTTACACACAATCTTGTTAGCATACCCTTGATAATGAATGATCTATACTGTTCTTATTCTCTTAGTTTATCCACCGGACATGCAGCCTGGGTTGTGGAAACTTCAGTATCCTTCATCTGTGTGTGGGACAGGGGGATCAGCTCCTGCCTTGGTAACAGCTGATGGATAATAAGAACCCAGGTCAGGAGTCACAGTGCAGAGAAAGAGTCTGTGTGACCCTTTTCCAAATGTCCCCTGAGAGCTGTGATGTTCACAAATATGATGGCACTGGTGAGGATGGGGAATTCAGCCACTGACAAAAACAGACAAGCTCTGGATTCGTGATCTAGGAAGGTCATAAGCTCAATTGAGACAAAGAATTAAAGATCACATTAACTGAAGCAGAAGTTGTGAAGTATATTCTGACTGTCTTTATTTTAAGCCTTCAGTGAGACACTGGTAGATCTTGGACTTGGTGTATTTTTCACTATGCAATATAAGCATTTTTAATCCTCAGGCCACAAACTGTACCAGTCAGAGATAAATTAAGAAATAGGTCAACAAAAACCAAAAGGTAAAGCAACAGACAAAAACATTCATGCCTGACAGTAAAGGTAGTAAGGTTTAAACACAAAACACTGTTAAGGAATAGTAAGAATTCTCAGAAAAATAAGAATAAAATCAGACAGAAAACAAGACTGAATGACTAAGGATGACACTGATAAAGATACAACAGAACATGTCAATTCTTATGATGAAAGTAATCAATTTCTGTAATGGGCATGACACAAGTAAACCTTCACAGGACTGCCAAGACTATGTCCATCACAGTATGCATCAGGCAACAACTCAGTAGAATGTGGCAATTACAATTATTAATGACATAACACTGGGAGACCTTGTCAATACAAAGCATTGTAATACAGTACAAAAACTGAATAACAGCAGCAAAAAACTGTTGATAAAATTCAACAGTAGAAATGCAAGGTCATGCACTTATGGACTAATAATATTTCTGCCAGAAGATGAGAGTGACAGCTGGAAATAAACAAAAGCATAAATAATAGGGCACAGCCACTGATCATAAAGTGACTGAGAGGTCTAAACCTGACCCTTCTAGACAAGAAAGTACATAAAACCCTAGAAAATTTCAAGAGCAATATTCTACAAAGACATAGTAAAATCTCATCTGGAGTTATGTACACCTTTGACCAGACATGTATTAGAAAATTTCATTCAAGTAGGAAGAGGCAGAGAGTGGGGGCCTTGCTGGAGAACAGAAGCACTGCATTAGACATTCTTAGAGAGATACCCAGTGCAGCTATCAGAAATAGCCCAGACACACTATTAGACTGATCTAATCACTAGTTATTCACAAACACACAAAAGATACACAAGGAGGCAATCTGGCTTACTGAGCCTAGAAAAATGAAGAGATAGAACACCCCCTGAAATGTAAAAAACAGGTATAACAAATACACAAGAACACACAGGAAAAAAAAAACTTATGCTACAATTGCAGTGTTGGCACACACAAAAATTAAGCAGACACTAAAAAAACCCAAAACAACTTCACCACAACAAAAATAGATAAATTTGTTTAGCCAGAAAGCTAAAATAAAAATTACTGCCGTTTGATCAACAGAGATCTGGAATAGCAATGTTACCAATGCTTTATTTCGGTGCCATACTAATGGTCTTTAAAATAATGTGTTTAAATCATAAACATTTTATTAGCCTATCTGAAATCCCTCAAGGTCAAAGAGATCTCTCAACCTTACATAATACACCTGTAAATCTCAAAAAATCTGCTTTATCTGTTCTGAATGATGAGTTGGAAGAGACTTTAGAAGTGAAGTTCTGATGTGTGGAGATAAGGGTCACCTTTTTAATTTTGCCAAATGAATAACAGATTTAAACTCTCCCATAACAGCTAGATGAATTAATAAACATAAAACACTCGTGTCTCGAAGATTTTTCTTCTTCTTTGAAATGTTTTAAACATGTATCTGAATAGTGAAGAGGAAGAGAAAGTTACTTACAGCAGTTGACAACCTGGATGCCAAGGTCATTTCCAAATTTCCTTTGAGACCAAGAAGTGCAGGAACCAAGATAAAGACTTCAGTAACATTCTTGAACACATCCCAGTGCTATACAAAGGATACAGTGGGAAACATTTAATTGAAAAATTCTCTTTAGGCCATCCACCAAGTATTCAAAAAATTCTGTAAATCATAATTTAACCCTCTGAAAAATTTAATCTTTTTGTATTAGACCTAGAAGTCTGAAGTCAGAACTGTTACCTATTTAAATAAAACAGATTTATGACTGCATATTACTGTTTCAAAGATGAGAAGACTATAAGCAAGAGATACAAAACTTGGCTTAAAACAAATGTAGTCAAAAAAAGATGTCATTAATTTGAAGTATTTGTTTTTCATTAGTTAAAATAGTCCCAGATACTAATACTATTCTTAAATTCTGCTCTTAATTTTCAATAATATTTTCATCTTTTCCTTTCCAGCTGTGTAGAAGCCTCACATAAAACCAACAAGGAATTAATCATCATATGAACAGAGCCTGTAAGTAAAAAAACCTTGTCTTTATTCTTTTACCTCAAAATGTGAAATTTACAAGAGCTCAGCTTTCTAAAACCCAGATTTTTAAAAGAAATCTTTTCATTTTTTGTGCACCAAGTTCTCAGCACTGAAGTGCTGTGTTACTTTGTATATCTTGTCAACCCATGTATTTAATTTGTCATTATTTACCAACTTTAACGAAACTAAGAAAACTGTAAATTGTCTTTTTATTCAGGGATTTGCAATAATATAAATTATTATTTTAATGAAAATAAAAGTATTCAATTAAGGCATCTGTACAAAGAATAAATTGGTAAGATGTACATGAACAAAGCACCAGACTGGTGTCAAATAGCCCAAGGAAGAAGTAAAGTTTGCATGTCAAAATTTATTTTCTTTTTTTCTTGAGGTAACAAAGTCTCTTTCCATTGCAACTGATTGAAGTCCAAGCTTCTTTCACTCTCTCAAGATTTTGAGTGACAAAGGTTGTCACCTCTTCTTCCTATTTTAATTAACTTTGTAAACTCTAAGTTGTAGCGAAAAGAAATCCCTAAAGCTGACGAAGCAAAACCAAACAAAAGAGGGGGAAATCCACAAATTGATTTCTATATTGTATTTCTGTTGAAATATTATGGTTATGTCAAACTTTTTTAATAACTGCATAGTAGCAGAACCACACCCAGACCTAATTACATCTCAATATTGCAGACATCTACAATGCCACATGTTAGAACTACAGACCTCACAGACTATCTGTTAAAAAAAGTCTTCCAAAGCAAATACCAACCTGTACAATATCCAAAACCATGCCAGCAGAAACAGTTCCAAACCCTGCTAGCAAAAAGGGTACAAGTATCTGCAGTGCCATAATACTACTCGATTCTTTGGGTTGTTTTCTACTTCCTTCCACAATAATTTCTTCATTACTGTCACTAGAGAGAGCATCATCCTGCAACATGGCATCTGTTTCTGAAGTGTCCATTCCATCACAGTAATTATAACTGGCAAAATCATCATATTTTGGGCTACTGGATGGGCTGTGTCCATTGCTACCATGAAAGCTTGGTTCTGAGAAGTGATGGTACTCTGTGTGTTGCTCTGACCTGACATTAAAATTGTGTCCTGCTGGTTGCAATCCATCTTGCCAGACACCATTCACCTTTTTGTGTCTTTCCTCTTGGTTTATTTGGTAAACAACAGGAACCATACTTAAAAGCAGTCTCAAAAATTTATCAGACTGAATTGTGTTAAGATTTATGGTCCAGTTTACAAAGCCTTCTCTGTCATGGACTTTGCTATTTGTTTTGGAGATGGTAGATCTGCCTTTACAGTTAGTCATAGTGCTACAGAAGTACAGGTTGAAAAGCACTTCGTTCTTCAGATGTCAGCCAAGAAATCTTGCAGGTGAGTCACCAAGTGCCACGCTTACACGTGGACCAAAATGTTCCTTTTTTGCAAGAAGTGTTTTTTCATTGCTCTCAGATCTTCGACAATTCCATATGCAAGACTGGATCTGCAAAAAAGTAGAAAGTACATATTTACTTGTAAAATATTTTGCCTCTACAGAATACACAAGATATTGGTTTAATTTTTCAGATCACAATCTTTTCTCTTTTCTGTTTAGCATGATTTAAGGTGAAGTTGTTTCTATTTTGACATTTCCATCATGGTAGGAAATTAAACAATGATATACTGACAATCTCAAGTTATTGCACATTCCCTCCATCAGAAGCTACTTTACCTTCCTTTTCTTTAATCTTTATGCTGTGGTAATAATTGTAATAATTTACTGAAAGAACAGTTCTAATTTGACTCAAAGCTTTTCTGACTTTGGTATTTATCACTAAACTCCATAAATACAAGTAAATGATTGGCATAAACAGAGAAACAAAGGTCAGGGAGACTGCATCAGCATCATGTAGGATAACACAATTCCACATGACTTTGTATCTATGCAAAGCTGTGAAAACATTTTACAGACTGAAGGAAATGAAAATATTTTAGAGCTGGAAGACTTCTAATCTGCATGTCCTAAGAAAGTCAGCCTCCTATGATCATATTTTTTATGTTACTATTCCTCTACTTCCCTTCCCTCTGTTTCAAAGCTTCTAAGTCATCCAGAGCAGTTTCAGATAGACTTTACAGGGAGTGGAGATGTCAAAGATTTTGGCAACTAATAGCCTTGTAAGAGATCCAAGTTTGTGCCTTTGCTGTCAGGCATCTTAGCTGGGGTAACTCACTCCAGTATGGCCAGAGCAAGTCAACTTCAAAATACCTGCTGCTCACAGAACTTCTACTATTTGGGGTTTTTGAGTGAAAAGGTGACTCAGAAGCAACATGATGATTTTCCCTCTACTACTTGCTTTTATCCAAGGGAGCTCTGACCAAGAAACAAATATTTTAAAAATGACAATGAAATTTATGGCTTGATCTAGAAAGAAGCCAAGTTTTGCAAGAAACAGCAATCTTTTGCCACAAGACCAACAAAGGAATTTAAGTAACCAAGATTCTTGCAATATCTTTTGCCACTCCGTAGCAGATTGTGCTATGTTGAACCTTTCCATTTCAGTGCATAAAAAACTCCTAGGCCACAATTCTGGTTTCCATACACTTTAATTAGGAATAACAAAACAACTTTTGCTGCTATGCCGGAGCAGCTCTAACCTCAGGTCAAAATGGTGCTCTGTTAAGTGCTACAGAAAGACAGAATGAGAAGAAGAAATTGAAGGATTTCATTTCACTCCCAGGAAAATGCATTAAGAAAATTTTCTGACAGTTTTAACAAGGCAGAGTCTGGGTCTCACTGTGGTTTTTCCCATATGTCCTCCAGTTGCATCACCAGAGTGCTAGACCAGTGACTCATGGAAATTAATTATTGTTCTGGAACTCTGGCCAAAAATATTTGGGTTAATTATCCATATCTTTTTTAACACACGGATTGTTCTCCTTTTAAATTTTTATATTTTGGTCTTTTTTTAAGAAACAAATCCCTTGATAACATTGTGGTTTCATTTTATATAAGAAAGTATTAACAAACAGATACGGCACTTAAAAGGGGTAAAAAAGGGGAACAGAAAAATCATTTGGTCAAGTTCCAAATGGAGGGAGAGGCTAGCATGAGTGGCTAACAATTGAAATAGTACAAAACAGTTTGGGATGACAGCTATTTACGTTTTTCCTACCACAAAGACTTAGGATGACAAAATGTGAATGCAAATGCTGGAAAATAAGAATTTAAGGAGATAAAATAAAAAATACAGAATCATAAAATTATTTAGGTTGGAGAAGTATTGTACAGTATAATATACAGTAAAGAGTAGTTGTTCCTTCAGAGCATACAGAGAGAAAATAACTACAAACCCTTCCAAATGCAATTATTAATTTCTAAAAATCTGTTCCAACAAAAATTAAGTGTCATCTGATGCAATATTTTCATCCTAAGTTACAGGATGCTAATAATTGCAGTATTTTCAGGGGGTTTTTTGGTACCTACAAGATGCAGCAAACCTTGTTGTTCATGTTGCTCAAAGGAATAACAAGAACTTCCCGAGAAGCTTTATCATTGACAAGAAAAACACTTATGCTGTTGTGTTGTCTAGAAAAGGTATGGGAGCTAAAGAAACAAGCTCTGCTCGAGTAATTCACATGAAGAAAAGGCAGTTAAAATCTCAAAAATCTCTTTCCCAGTCTCTGTAAGAAGAGGGGATAAGTGGTTCTGGTTTCTTGACATATAATCTGGAGGTTACAGAAAAAGACAAAGTACTGAAAAAAAAAGAGAGACAAAGATCCTTTGAGAAGTCAGGAAGCAGCCTCAGATTTATCATAGCTGGCATATTATATATGAAATGAAAGAACACCTTGTCCTTGTCCCAACAGGTGAAATAATGAGCTATGCCCAAACTATGAAAATAATAATTCCCTCTTCCTTATTGTTTCCTAAGCACCTACTTTTAATAGTTTCTTCTTTTCCTTCACATATTTTATAGCACACAACAATTACTGTGTACTACCCACCTCTCTCTTTCTCAGTCTTGCAAGCACACACAAACATAAACAAACAGTTCTGCAAACATAAACAAATAAGAAATACAGCCATACCCTGCCAATCACTGCAGATATGTTCCTGGAAAATGAGACACTTGGCAATCCAAAAGAGAGCAAGCCAATTTTACTCCTAAGAATTAATACAACTAATGCACATAGCAATTTTTAAAATACACGTGGAGACAGTACATGTGATGGACAGGCAGAAATAAATGCTGCAGAAAATAGGACCAGAAGCTGGGAGAGATGCTGACTTTTGGAAATGCAAAGCTGCTTTAGAAAAATCTCAGGTACTTCAGCTATGAAACTGAACACCAGATCATTATCACATTTTTCCATCCTTCACTTTTGATTGGCTTGATTTATCTGAGAAAGATGAAATGACCAAAAAAATTAAACTGTTCAGAAAGAAGCTCAAAGAGCTCTCTTCACTATTGCCTGAAGAATTGTCCACATTGTTTCAGACACACCTATAATGCTGTTCTCAAGAGCATGGGAAAGAAAATGATTCTTCCCCTTGGTTTAAAGAACATCTAGCATTAGCAGGATTAAGGGACTGGATTCCACAGCTAAGTTTGATCAGATAGATATTAGACTGCCAACAATTCATTTAAAGCGTGAACACAATAAATCATCACGACCTTATAAGAACCTTCAAAAAAAGGGGAAGAAGGAGAATCAAGCATGAAATTTCTGTAGAGTAAACATTATGACAGGCTAAAACAAACACTTTTCAAAGTTTAGGTCTAGGGAAATTTATGATTTCTTTCAGAGCTTGGTTAACAAAACCAAAAGATAACATCTATCTAAATAATTCTGAGGGCTTTCACAGGACCCAAAGCTAATCACACTACAGTCAAAACCTGTTTTTCCTAAAAGTTGCCAACATTTTTTTACAAGTGGTCTTTTAAAGCTTCAATAATCTCTACACTGCACTTCTAGGTAGTCCACAATAAAATACAATTGTGTAAACATGCCTGTCTGAGAAATGCCTCTCAGGACAGGAACAAGCCTTGGAAAGGGATTCAGGAAAGTAACATGAAACGCTAATGAAACACTGAACTTTAATATTTTGCCATAATAAGCAAAGATGTATCTGGATTATTCCTTGGCTTGAAAGGCTCTTTTTGTGTCTTCAGAGATGAAGCCAGACTCTTCTCACTAAAAGGATGAGCAATAGCAGGTATAAATTGAAGCACTGGAAATGGCATTTGAACATAAGAAAAAGCTGGGGTTTTTTTACCATGACAGTGGCTAAACACTGGGTCAAACAGGTTCTGGAGACTTCATTCTTGGTGATATTTGAAACCAAACTGGACACGGCCCCAAGGCTCTTCTTGACCCTACACTGAGCAGAGGTGGCCAAATAGAAAATTTACTGACCTCAGCAATTCTGAGATTCTGTGAAGTTGGCAATATGAGGTTTTGGGGGCATTCTTTCAGTTCAGAACACAGGTGATACAGGGATCTGCATGGCCACTTCTCCACTATTGTGTTGTATATACATACAAGTGTCAGTATCACACTGACACCCTTATCAGAGGCATGGCCAATCATCTATATTAGTGTAGTGAGCGTATCAGTAGAAAGGGAAAGCTACATCATATCACCTTAGCATTATGGACAGTAAACAGGCTGTATTATCATTAACCTTCCATAGAACCCGGAAACTAATGTGGTAAGCTGGGCTAAGATTACTTACACCAAATACTGAGTGTAGAGTGTAAAAGGCTGTAAAACATGCTGAAAATTAACAAATGTTGCATGCAAGGCAGATATAAGACCATTACATACCATTTTTAAGTATTATGCAGTAAACTGGTTAACACTGTGTTTATTATGTGGCAGTTTCTGGTTAAATTAACAGCAAAAGAAACAAATAACAAGAGGAAAAAACCAGATTAAAGAACCTCCAGATGCCTTCTTGACAGTTAGACACTGAAAGACGTGCCACCCCCAGGCTCAGTTTTTAGACAAGTTTGAGACTGCTGCATTCCACTTCCTGAACACGGCAGCTTTCGATTTTGGCCTCAAGGAAGAGAAAAGCAGCTGTGAGAAAGACTTGATTTGACTCCGCACTTTTAAAGCATCTAGAAGAGACCAAAACAGAGTCAAAACACAGCAGCAAGGCTGTGAAATGTGGTTGATTGTAAAATGACCCAAATGGAATTCCAGCATGAAAAATACCAGGCAAATCACACCCTTCGGCCCATCAAAAGCAGGTGGGAAAGTATGAAACGTAAGAGATAATGCAGTCCTCTAGATTAAGTAACCAATAAGTACTTACCAGGATGAATCTTAACTACTCTTTGGGATCCTGATTACAGGTTTCTACTGTCATCACCAAGAAGAGATAAATTACTTATTATCTCAGGCATTAGGATACAGACTTCCCATTGTTTTTGTGGATAATATCATGCAGGTATTTGAAAAGAAAATAATATGCTGTTATTTTTCCTCCTGAAGTGTGTACCAGGCATATTGCAGTATTTATGGATCCAGTTTCACAACTTCTTTAGGGCAGTAGATATAGGGAATGCTGTCAAAACAGGTCATCCTATCTGCTCTCATCTTTTTATGCACATTACAAAACTGGTAAAGTGAGGATAACTAGGCATATATTCTAAACATTGCTAGGACTCTTCCTAAAGACCAAACAATTATTTTATTTCATATGATCCACATACTGTAGTGTGGTCCATGACATAGATTCAGTGAAGAAGACACACAACTATCCTGGACAATAGGCTGAGGGGAGCAGAAATGATAACATTCACTGAAACTAAAGAAATAGCTACAACCTGGAATTCTCTGAGAATTAACAAGAGAGTAGAAAGTAAAGTAGAATAAATCACAAAAAGCTCCTACGTTTTGGCAGAAAACATATGGGAAAAGAATAAAAGTGCCATCGGACGTTAATTACAGCGCTTGTATACATAAAAAAGAGATGATAGCTGAAGTCTGTACACGTGCTGTTCAGGTAGAGGTTCCACGCTAGCACTGTCTAGCACTGCATCTGTGGTGACGGAGTCTGGCACATTTGGATGGGTGAAAAGGTGGGAACAGAACTGCCTGCACATACGGATGCAAAGAGTGCCAAGGAACAGGGGCTACTGGGAATGTTGGTCATATCTTGTGCAGGCACAGAGAAGCAGAAGAAAAGGGTCATTGTCCAGGCCACCTGGAGCAGTGCATAATGACGCGCACATGATGGAACGCGGTGCGGGGCTCCGAGGAGCGCAGGGTACCGGGGCACGGGCGGCCAAACGCGGGGCAGCATCCGCGCTCCGGGGGCAGGACAGCGGCCCGGCCGGCGAGCAGCGGAGCCCGGCCGGCGCCGGTGTGCGGAGAAGGGCGGGCGGGAGCGCCGGGGCCCGCAGCACGGGGAGGGCGAGCCCCGCGGCACCCGTGAACGCCGGCCGGGGCGGGAGGCGGGCGGCACAGAGCGTCCCCCAGCCCTGGGCGCCCCGGGCACCCCGGCATCGGGGCGGGCCGGCGCGGCGCTCGGGGGTTTCCTCCACTCGCCAGGAAACTTTCCCGCCCGCGGCCCCCGCCTCCCCCGGCCCGGGGCGGCAGGTCCCCGGCCCGCCCGGCCCCGCTGCCCCCGCTCCCCTGGGCCGCGCCCTCCCCTCACCTGGGCGAGAGCGGAGCCGGCAGCGCCGCGGGGTCGCGCTCCATGGGTGCGGCGGGGCGGGAGCAGCCGGCGGCGGTGACAGCTCCGCGCTAGGTGAGCGCCGCCGCCACTGAGCAGGCGCGGAAGCGGGCGGCCCCCGCGATGATGTGGCTGGCCCGTGATGCGCAGAGCCGCCGCCGCCGCCGCCGCCACCGGCCGCTCCGAGCCGACGCTGGGCGGGGGAGGGAGGAGCCGAGCGCCGCCGCCCCGCGCCGCCCGTGGGACGGGACGGGGCGCCGTGCCCGGTGGTCGCTCCCGGCCAGACCCCCGGAGCGAGCCCCCGCTGCCTGACACCCGCCGCCCGCGCTGCGGGACCGCCGGTGTCCCCTTCCTGCTGTGCCCTCCCGGCCGCTCGGTGGTGGCGGGGGCGAAGCTTCACCTTCGCCTCACTTCCCCCGCAAGGGCCCGGCTGGTGCCCCGCAGCCGGGGGAAACAAAGCGCCCGAGTGGGGCTCCAGGGCGCTCCCTGGGCAGCGCCGGCAGTGCCGATGCCTTTGCTTTCACTCGCCGAAGATTTCTTGGCGACGGAGCGCAGGAGTCGCCGTTTTGTAATGACTCCTGGCTGCCAGCTACCAGGACATTGTCGCTCTTTCCTGCCAGTTGGCCAAAAGCAGCTTCCTCAGGAATCCAATTTCTAAAAGTGTTTGAGTCATTTAGAATATCCTTGTTCTTGCCCAGCTGGACTGTACACCCTTGCAAACAGCGTGTAAGTCTGTGAGCTCCTCCCTTGACATCTCTGTTTAACTGAGTATGGAGCCAAGGTCTTGCTGGACTCCTGTTCTGTGAAACACTTAATATTAACACTTTATATTAATACATTAAAACAGTCAAGCCAGCTAAATTTGTGCGTTTATTATCAGTACTAGTATTATTCCTCAATTGTTGCTTGACACTTTGAAGTGGTGAGGATGCCTTAACTGGAAAGTGAATGGGAAGAAAGGAATAAAGAGGATGAAAAGAGAAGATTTAATGATGGTGACAGCAGCCAAGCCTACAGCATCCCTTTTCCTGTCTACAGAGAGAAAAAAAGACAGCATGGGCAAGTCACCAAATGTCTGCCATAAACTGAAGTTAGCAGTGGTGGGGATATGTGGAATAGCAGAAACTTAAGCACTTAAGGGAAATGTATTTGCAGGACTGAGGCCAAAACATTGTGCACTAGGAGAGTGAAAGATACAGGACCAGCTTGAACACTCACGTCAATACCACATTAAATGAATGAAGCAGCCCAGACCTCAGAACTAATAATTCAGCTGTCTCAAGCCTGTATTTATTGGGGATTTGTGCTGCAGATACTATAGCTTCCCTACCTTAGTAGCAACCCTATATATCCACACGTGTGCTCAGGTGTTACACAGCATGAGTACTTAGCTGGGCTTCTCTACAAATCAGATAAAGATCACATCTGCCGTTGTTGCCAACAGTGAGACTGGAAACCTGAGGCTTGGGAACAGCACCTGAGGGTGCTATTTCTGGATTTTCTAATTGCTTGTCTGGTTATCTTGGGCAATCATTTCATCACTCCCTACTACAGGTTCCTTGAAAGCATTAAGCCCCACCCTCCATGGAAATTACATAATACCCATGGAGGAAACATATTGTTAGAGGTTCACACACTATTATTTTGGGTTGTGTACAAATTCAGAAAGACTCACTTTTGAGGCCCAAGGCGAAAAACCCCAGCCCTCAAGGTTTTTCAGTCATTAAAGCTAGCAATAGGATTTTTCTGGGAAATGGAATTTTTGGAGCATAGCTGGCGAGAAAGGTGCAAACCAGGTAGCAAATTCAGTGGAATTTGTACCTGGCACTGTGGGTGGGCTGGGGAAGTGGCAGAAGGCACTTGTTTGGGACAGTCTGTCAGGAAAACAGCAGGGTGGTCTCTTGTTTGAGGCCTTGCAGAGGTTTGCTTCTTATTCATGTTAATTCCAAGATACTGGGATCTGGGTGGTTGCATGGTTGGGTTTTTTCCTGTATCCTTTGCAATGAGAGCCTATAAACACCACTTACCTGATTACTATTTATTCTCATTTTAATCTTGGAATTCCCATCTTGTTTCTTTTGAACCATTCCGTTGTCTTTTGGCAATCTTCACATTGTCTAGATGTGAAAGGATAGAAACTGCAGAAGAGATAAGGACAGATAAGGACAGAAACTGCAGAACAAATCCTGAATAACAGGTTGGCCAGTGTCAGCTGAACTTGGTGGTTTTGTAAGTTTCTTTTCCAAAGAATGATTAAAACTTCCTCGGGCTCTGATATTCAATTTTAGGTTCATTTATCAAATTTTGAAAATGAAAACTGGAGAGTTTTGAGAGACAAGCAGCTACTGGCAGGCATTCAGATGACATTACCTGCTGGCAGGTTGGTTCTACATGTTCACGGCTCTTCATGGCGATGGGATGGACTTTTTGTGCCAAATTACAGAATCGGTCATGATGGAAGTTACCATAATGGATCATTCGGTCCAACCTCCCTGCTTAAGCAGGGTAGTCCTTGAGCTCTTTGCACAGGATTGTGTCCAAACAATTCTTGAATATCTCCAGTATAGGAAACTCCACACCCTTGCTGGGTAACCTGTTCCAGTGTGTGGTCGCCTGCACAGTGAAGAACTTCTTCCTCATGTTCAGGTGGAACTTCGTGTGCATCAGTTTCTGCCTCTTGCCTCTTGTTCTGTTGCTTGGCACCACCATGAAGAGCCTGGATCCATCCTCTTGCCACTCTCCCTTCACATACTTGCGTACATTGATGAGATCTCCTCTCAGTCATCTCTTCTCTAGGCTAAACAGGCCTCCAGCTTCCTCAGCCTTTCCTCTTGAACAGATGCTTCAGTTCCTTAATCATCGTTCTTGCCTCCGCTGGACCTGCTCCAGGAGCTCCGTGTCCCTCTTGTCCTGAGGAGCGCAGAACTGGACAGAGCGCTCCAGAGGCGGCTCACCGGGGCTGAGCAGAGGGGCAGGCCCACCGACCCCGAGCTGCCGGCAGCGCCCTTCCTAATGCAGCCCAGGACAGCGCCGGTTCCGCGCGTTTGCCCGTGCTGTGTTTCCCCGGCTCCGAGCGGTTCCATGGCGATCTCTGCCGGGCGCTGTCCCCGCTGCCGCGCGCGGGCGGCGGCGCCGGTGCTCCTCCCGCCCGGCAGGGGGCGCGCGGCCGCCGAGCGCGCGGGCCGCTCCACTTCCGTGCGTGCGGACACATGGCGGGGCCCGCGGCCTCCCGGGAGCTGCTGGACCTGCGGCGCCGGCCAGGTGAGTCCGGCACTGTCCCTGTGAGTCCGGCCCGCTGAGTCCGGCACCGGCCCGAGGCTGGCGGGGCTCGGCCAGGCCCGGCCCGGCCCGGCCCGGCCCGGCAGCCCGAAGGGTGGGCCGCCGGTGACCCAGCCGTGTTTGCGTGCCGCATGTATTGAAGAGCTGCTCTCCCGGGCAGGGCTATGGTAATGCCGAGTAAATAAGCCGGGAAATCCGCGTTAAACTATGGGCAGTGGTAGCGACGTTTTCATGAGACAGAAAAAAAAAAGGAAGTGAAAAAGACAGAACGCTGTGCTTTAGTTAATGATACGGGGCGGATGGCTCCGTTGGTCATGAGGATTAATGAGGATAATTAATGCCGAATTCGCCGACACGGTTTGGGTTTTCCGGCGCCGCCGCTGCCCGGTTAGCGGAGGTCATTGGCACTGGGATTTAAATCAGCGCGACCGGCACCCTCAGCTCCCAGCTCACCGTGCCTTGCTGTGGGGTACTAGAGATTATTGTTCTGTGCGTTATAACTCGCACTTAATCAATCTTTGCCTCAAAAGCGGCTGAAGGAACTTGAGCTTAAACTTAAGGAGTATGTCAGAGGTGACTGCAGGGTGAGACCCCTGGCCGGTGTAGCCCTGTATTTCCTCCAAGAGCAGCAAAAGCAGATAACAATTGTGGAGAACTTGTCAGTTTAAGCACTTCAATACTCAGTTGTTTTTTTGCAGGGCTGGAAGACATTTTGCTGATTAATTCAAAGTGCAGCACCAAGAAGGCCACAACTTTACAGACTGTTAAGGTGCCAAGGAGCAATGGTAAGTACGGAGGAGCTTGTTCCTGGAACTATGTCAAGTAGTAGGTAACATTTGTGACACAACTTTTGCTTCAGTACTTTCCTTGAACAGGTAAAGGGAGAAGCTTTTGTGTCCAGTTTCTTGAAAGAAACTGAAAAAAAGAAGTTTTTTGTGTTCAAGTCCTCCACCCATTACAGTTCCATGTCCTGCTGGTGAGTCACGTAACTACTGCTGCTGCAAAATTCGATTTTGCAATGCTGGGCATTACAGCCCTTAAGTTTTAGGGTCAGATTGTTCTTTCCTAGTATGGAGTTGTTGCTTGGGCTTCTTATCTCTTTTTAGAAGTAATTTCTCTGTATGATATATTTATTGTATAAAAGCATTTAATTTTAAAAGGATTCCTGTCAAATTGTTTTATTTTTTGTTTTGTGATCAAGCTGAAATTAAAAAAAAAATGTTACATCAAATTCCTTGTTAGATAAAAGTCTCTACAAAGATGACAGCGTTTCAAAGCTAGATTATACTTGTTAAACTTTGATGGAGTTCACTTGGAATAGTACCTCTTCTTAAAGAAAGAAAACTAGTGTTTGGCTCATCTGCATGTGTGGAGCAGTTTATTTGAGGAAATTCTGGAGGTGAAAATATTATCTTCCTCCATGGAAGGGATATGAGTGTGATTCTCCTAATTCCATTGATCACCTAAAAATTCCTGTGAAGTCCCACAGGACTGAGCTGTAGAGGGTAAGTGCTTTATACTTCATCCTGAAGGTTCCATCTTTTCCCCACCATCTTAATTTCAGACTTTCTTTGGTTAATCATGTTGACCTTTCATTAGTCTATCACAGCATCTGCTACAGCTAATTTTTCCATCTTCTTTGAGACTTTCAGTCTATACTTAATTATTATAGCTGGAGATTACAGTTGAAATGGAATCTGTTTAAAGGCTCATAACTGATGTATAAATATGAACATTAATGAGCATCTCTTTGACTTTATATATATATATATATATATATATATATATATATATATATATATATATATATATATGATAATTGTTTCTTTTCAGTTTTGGACCGGGTACAGAGCTTTTTACCCCAGATGGCGCAGGCAAATGATGAACTCAAAAGAAAAATGGTAACAGCACCTGCTCATCAGTTTGATATTGAACATCTAGACAGTGAAACAGAAAAAGTTATAGAAATGGTAAATACATTTTTTTAAATTTTAACATAAATCTAGGTGGGATTAAAATAACTCTCTGATCTTGGAATGAGTAATATGATAGATAAAGTGAAGTCTTTATCATTTTCTGTGAAGTCTTTACCATAGTCCATGATCTGCTGTTTCAAAACACAGATAAAATAAACATGCTTATTTGGTTGAAATTTACATCCTGCTTTTCATACTTGTAGAATTTAATCACTGGGGATAAAGTAGTTTAAGAATAAGTAGAATAAGACATGCTTTTGAATTGACAACTCTGAATCAAAACTCACAAATTATATTTTAAATTTCTCCTAGGTGATTTGGTTTAGAAACTGAACAATATGAGGCCTAGTGTAAGAGTAATAACTGGCTTTCAGCTCTGCTCTGCTGGGATTTTTAGGAATGACTAGCTCTTGGGTTTAGAAAAGTTGTTAGTGTTGTTGTGATACTTTGTTGCTGGTGTTTGTCTATTTATTTACAGTCATATATGTATTTTATTTCTGGTTTTAACTGAAGTGTTGCAGCCATATGTTTGTATTAAAAACTTTTATTATGAAGATGATATATGTCCATGGCTTATCCAAGTGCCTTCTGGCTAAGCAGACTTCAAAAATTATGGCTCTGTATATGGATATATGAGCTCACTTGAAAAAAACAACCAGGTGATTTAAACTACTTGCTGTTTTAGAATAGTTGTAGTGCCCTGAATACTACTACAATATAAGATGTGAACTATATTAATATATATATATATATACATATGTTTGTATATTTGTTATGACCCTTTATACACTAAATTATTTAATTTGAATATTTTACTGAAAAGTAGTTTTGATGCCTGCTGCTCATCAGTTTAAATATCTTATTTAGACAATCTGAGTTCAGCTATTAACTCAGTTCTTTCTTTGATAGTGATATAAATATGGCCTTAGATTTCCTATAGGCCAGTAATATTTAGGAATCTCTTAATGATATTTGTAAAATCCTAGGAAAACCCAAAAGTCTTTTTTAGTGTGATAGTGGTTTTCTTATGGTAGTAGGGTCTAATAGGTTCGCCTTGTTTTACTCCAGTGATAGAAGTGCTGTAGTGTGTGTGTGTATATATATATCTAGTATATATAATGTGTTAACTGAGATTTTTTTTTTTTTCAGAATGTGGCTGTAGTTGAACTGAGTGAGTCTGATACAGATGAGGAGTTGCTGACTTCAGAAGATGACTCGGAATCTGATGAAGATGACTCTGTAACTGATGAAGTGACAGTAGACAACATCAAGTTTCCCAAACAAAAGGGAGAAAAGGGCAAAATAGAAATTTTGGACAGCAAAGCAAATTAGTAAATCCATTTTGTTTTATTTTAAAAAAACCCAAACCAACCAAATCGTGTTTTCTCACTTTGAAGAGCTGGCCCTTAAAACCACTTTGTTTTCCCAGTGTAGCATCTCTCAGGATCCTGTGAAATGTTATAGTTTACATGGTGGAGAATTCAGGATCCACTCATGACTGGGGAAGGCTGAATTTCTGAAGAACTAAGTGCAATTTCATTCATTAAATAACAGGGAAATGCACTTCATAGTAGATTACACCAAGAAAACAGCTAGAGTAAGGGGCACTTGAAAGTTAAAAATTCTTGTCCTGTTGCTTTGTTGAAGAAAGACTTTTTATAGGAAGGTAGAATTTTTTGCTTCAATGGCAAGAAAGAATTAACTAGGAAAAAAGCTTTGTTTTACTATTCCATATCCTGTGAAGTGCTGTGTACACTCTCTTCAATATTAAACATGATCTTTAATACCTCAGAGGTATGTCTACATCGCATTCATGGTGGTGACTGCTGAGCACCGGAGCTGTGGCTGAGCTAGCTCATTTCCAGCTGAGCCAGCCTGGCTAAGGAGAGCCATGACCAGAGAGTTCAGCAAAGAGTTTCTCACCCTGTGTGCCTGCACTGAGCTCCACACCAGCACGGGGAGGTTACAGGCTCATTGTGAAACGTTTTGGCTGTGGTGCAAACACCCTCCATACTCAAAGGATCAAGGCTGCCTCTGGGGTGTTATGATAGCTTTAAGCTACACTTTTCATCCCCCAATTTCCATGCCACATTTCCAATCTCCATTTTGTTAACTGTCACTGAAGGATGAAAAGGTGAAATTTCAACTTGTACCTAAGTTGGCTTCACACGATTGTGAAAGCAGAATCAGTGAAAGTGTGTCTCATTCATATTTACCTCATATTGATAAAATACAATGGTTTGGGCTATTACATTTAATTCATAGATCAATTTGCATTTCAGAAGTATCTGTCATGCTCCTGGACGTCATTGTTTCTTAAAGGAACTTTGTATTTTCTACACCATTAAAGTAAAATTTTCTATACTGTGTTTGCTTAAATATTAAACTTAACATCATGACTTGAAACGTGCAGTTATTTGTAGAATTTATTTTGAATCCTGTACCTAAAGTCCTAGGTTTTTTACTTATTTCTGTAGTATTTGTGGTAAGAAATAACAAGGATTCTGGTCTGTCTTTAACAATATGGCTTAAATATAGGATGGAGATATGATTTACTGATTAAACCATGGAATGTTTTAGTGAAGGGGAAGGTTGAGGATCAGGGAATCAGATTGCTACCTTTAATAGCAGCCCACAGATAGACCAAGCTTTGGGTGTTTTTGCATTCTAAGAGCAAGGAGTCTTAACAGGATTAGTTAAATAAAGTCTCAATCTATAGAAAATCTCTTCCAAACTGAAAAAAGTTTGAAAGCCAACATCGGACCTTGGTCATTTTACAAGGGATTTTCCCACAGTTTAAAAAGAACCCAAAAGTGTGAAATACAAAGTAATAATCATGCAGTATGAAACAATGATTACAGTCCATGTGCACAGACACAAAAAGTGATTTTAATCTGTTAATGTAGCCACCTTTCAAATTGCAGGCAGATCACACATTCTGTATCAACAAAAAGGTAGAAAATATTTTCAGTAACTTTAGCTCAATATGCATAGTTTAACACCAATATTGAACTCTGTATGTACTATACAAAGATCATAGTAAGTGCACTTCCTTGCATTGATTTACTTATGGCACAAAGGTTTTCTGTACTGCTGAAAAATCACCAGAGCAGAGTGTTTAATTGCTACCATAAAACCTGAACTGATTTATAGCAAAAATGGCATAATCAGTATATTTTAGTTCAAATTTAGAAGCCTAATGATTAAGGATTTAAAATTATAATGTAACCATTATGTTACAAATATGAAGTAGGCATGTGAGAACTTATTCTTCAGTTCTATTTAAGAGAAAGAAACTGAACCATATTCTTGGGGGGGTTTTGGGGAAGAGGGTGGGGAGAAATTGTGCTACCAACTGTTGCTGCTGCATAATTTAACTTCAGGGTGGTTTTCAAAAGCCATTGTCTGTCAGACTAAAATTTGGACCTAATTTATAGAAACTTCTCAATGGAATGAATATTTTGTTTTGTTTTTTGGTTGTAGCACTGCAGACAGCATATCCTAGATGTGGTATCAAGTGCTTCGTGTAGTCATCAAGATTCAAACTCTGCTGAAAGTCTACTTCCAAGTGAAGCTGTTACTTTAATATTCCACAGTGATGGCTTTGGTTCTGAGATATTCATGAAGTGCTTCTTCACCTGTACAAGCACAATATTTGCCTGTTAGAACAGCAGCTAAATGAATTTTGTCAGACTGTAACTGTTAATAAGAAAAAAATTGAAACACTGTAGCCAATATTTGAGTCCTTACGCAACAATTAAGACTAATTACCTTCCAACCGTGATTTACAGACCTGGTTTGATAAGAGACCAGACCCAACAGATGTGGAAGAAAAAGGAACTGAAATTTAACAAGCAGCTCTGCAGGCAGCAGCAGATATTTAGATGGCCACTGGGGGCCCATAGCTGAATTTATGAACTTTGCTTATCCTCTGTTAAAGGTCATGTAGAGAAGCTGTGTGAAATCTTTTTTTCCCCGACACCATCACTCATTTTGGTTTCAGGAAATGTCTTTGGAGATTCCAAAAGCAAAAATCTATTGTGGGAATTAAATTTGGTTTTCCTTTTTTCTCTGCCCTGAAGTTTCTGTCCAGACTTGTGAAGCTTCTTCGACAGAATGGCCTTCACTTTTATAAAAAGTTGTTTTGAAAAGAGAGTATTTTTAATGCATCTTTTTCAGTGGCTGTTGGCAAATTTTGATGACATTTTAAGGTATAAAAAGGTTTCCCATGCTCTTACTTAGAGGAGAACCTAAATTAGCATTCCCTCTGAGGGAAAAAATACTTTGGCCAATATCGTTGTTACTTGACAGCCTTTTGTAGCCTGCACAGAGCTCTGGATAAGCTGTAATTTATTTGCCTGCTCTCAGAGCAGTTGGAGAGGAATATTCTGTGTTATTTAGCAAATGTACAGGAAAGGCTGAATGGGAGGTATTGAAGTGGGAATATTTAGGGAAGGAGAGGATTTGGATTACTGTAATTGGAGGAATGTAGGAGATGCAGGAAATGCAGCCATAGCTCATGTTTTACTAGATACACTGTAGCCAGGCAGTGCTTCTTTCATTGCTTAGGACTCTGAGACAAGAAATGAGGGAAGGAGAAAACTTACCTAAATCTTTCCCAAAGCCAGACAGCTTAAATCCACCAAATGGTGCTGCCACATCAGTTTTGTTGTATGTGTTAATAAAAACTGTCCCAGCTTCTAGCTTTTCACTGATGTAGAGAGCTTTACTTATGTCTTTTGTGAAAACTCCTGAAGCTAAGCCATATTCTGTGGCATTTGCCCGTTGCAATACTCCATCAACATCCCTACGGGGGAAAGAAATTATTCAATTGCAACTAGGTAAAATAAACAATTATTAGAAACCCTCCACCTTCTATGTCATTGAAGCAACTTTTCAGAAGGCCTTTCTTCTCCAGTGAGCTTTTTAAAAGATGACTTATTAAGGACAAATCTGTGTGTCAATCTGACAGATCCATGGAAATTCACTCTTGCTTCAAGCTTCTGAAGCTCGTAACCTCACATTTCAAAGGTTAATATCTACGCTGAGAAATGCCACAGGAAATGTTGCTACTGTGCAACTTGGGAATTAGAGCAATACAAAAATGCCTGTAAAGCAGAACCTGGTAGCAGATGATGAATTCGTTTGCTAAAATTTTGTCCAACTTTACAAGTTAATGCAGAATAAAAGCTGGAATTTAAACTGCTATCAAGACACAACTTTTCAGGCCATTTCTAGAGTGCTATTTTCTATCTGCATCTCATTTCCATACAGCTTCAAAAATCAATAGTAGTTTAAAAAATTCAGTACAGTCCCGTAAGACTACAGAGTTTATGGATGTGAATGGCTGGTTCTTAACTTTATTATCAAACTGCAGAAGATGAAACCTGATAGAAATATTTATGTGAAGTTTCTATGTAGGGTTTTAATCTCATCTGTATGTTAAATAATTCTTATGATCTGGAAAGATATTAGAAGTGACAGATGTAATAAATGTGTATTTACAAAATATACAGTGGAATTTTCATTTGCAACAGTAATGTGCCAGTGTTAGACAATACACAACACTGCAGTCTTCTGTAACAGGAAAAATAAGTAATTCCACTGAGAAAAATACACATTTTGTAATTTGATCAAGCTGTTGCAATTACCACATAAACTTCACTAGAACATTTGCACTGAATACTACTGCATATTCAGATTGGTCTAACAAGATTTAACAAAATACTGTCATTTTGGGTGAAAATGGGAAAATAAAGTTTCTAACAGTAACCAGGGGAGAACATACCCATTTTTAAATTTAGAGATGACCATCACAGGACCAAAGGATTCTTCCTGGGCAATATACATATGGTCTTCAACATCTGTGAATACAGTGGGTTCCATGAAGAATCCTAAAGAGAGGATAAAGCAGCATTTGAGCATGGTAAAATGCTTAAGGGTTTGCTCTTCTCTAGGCCATTTCTGTCCCATGCTTTGAGGTGATAAATAGCTTGCAACTTGAAATAGAAAATAGATATGAATGAAGTATTAATGGAAATGCATGCACTTCAAGAAAAAGGCAGACAAAAGGGTAAAAGAATGGCCTGTATTTATAGATGTGCTCTTCTCTGCCCTGCATGCTACAGCCCAGGTGACTCCTTGAGGGAAGACCCTGTACTTTAAGACAAGGTTACAGCAAGTCACAGTGGCCACTGTTTTTCTTCCTACCCAACAAGAAAATAGATTGTAAGATCTAAATAAAGGTCTCATAACTTCTACTTCATTTGCACAGCTTCTCATAATATGAGACGCTAAAGCTCTATGGTATCATGGACTTACCTGGTAGTGTTCCCATGATACTGCAACTCCACAAAGTGCAGCTGAGACAATTGTGACAGCTCTTGCATAAAGTTTAAAGGTGCTAAATACCTCTGGAAAGTATTTTACCTGGTCTACATACTTGTTTTCCTCCATACACCAGAGTGGCTCCTTCTTTTACTCCAGTTTCACAGTATTGCAGCAGCTTTTCCAAATGTGCCTTGTGATTTTGCGGACCATGATCTGTAGATCTGTCAAGTGGGTCACCAATTTTCATCTTTTTAATTTCTTCAACCTATGAGTTACCCAAAAAAAATGAAGTTACATAACACAGCAATATTGTTAGAGTGAACACAAATTTGGAATGCTGCATTTTTTGGTGCTATGAAGATTGAATCTAAGAAATTACTGGATTCTTAGATATAATTCTTCTCCCTCTTAAAATGAGGCTTTGTCTTTTGTCTCATAATCTCTAATTACTTCAGAAAGTTTTTGATGCTTTGTTCATGTGAATATTCTCTTCTGCTATTAAAATAGGCATGTAAAATGTCAGCTTTTACCAGTGGTTAATGACTTAAAATAGTGATTTCCTGTTCTTAAGCAAAATAAATGAATTCTCCAGTGGCACAGCATGGCAAGTATTGGATTTTCAACAGTGATCTTTGTATTATTACAGTTATGCCTCCAATACTCTCTTTTTTTTTCTGACTTTACAGAAGCCGCCTTCAATCACATCGACCTGAGTTCAGTAATTATTTGTAATCTTATTTTCCTAGTCAAATATGAACTATCACTGAAGGTACAATATCTATTTAACTGTCTGTGCACTTATCTGTGCATTACTGGTGCAAATATCTCCCTTAATGCTTCCTTTTAACCCTGTAAGAGGTTCCTGAGAAGCAGCACTGTCTATCATAAGCAATAACGAGAAATTAAGCAATTGAAAATAAGAAACACAAAATAAACACTATAAAAGTAGTGGATCATTCTGCCACAGCAAAACATATGACATATGCTTAAACTTTAGTCCTTGAATATCTTACCACTTTTTTAACAAACTCATCATGAATTGATTCTTCCACAAACAGCCTGCCAGCTGCAATGCA